AACGAATTTTTCCCAACATGTTTTCGTCTGCATTTGGCTGCCCACCAGCTGTAGTATTAGTCCGCCATACAGTAATCGGTTTTAGGGCTTAAATTCCTTACCATTTTAGTAAATATCAAGAAGGTTGTACTATTCAATAATTTTAAAAGTTTTATATTAATTTTTTTAGTCATTTTAACAATTATTGAACGTAAGTGAAGTACAGAAAACTATTTTTTTGCACGCCAAACAGCCACTCAACACACCAAGCTTGGCGTCAGTTTGTTTACCAGTTCAGAGGAAGGAACATCTTGTTTGAGACTCAACATAAATGCTTTTTTCTGTGTTTCCAGTCAAATTATTGGTCATTTTGAAATATATTTTACATATTGATAATATACATGTATAGCACAGTGCAGTGTTGATTTAAAGAAAATAATCTTGAATTACACCAAGAGAACTAAAATTTTATGGGTGAAATGGCGCCATGGGGTGACTTCTCTTCCACCCCAATGCCTTCTATTCTCTCTTCTCCTCCACCCCCATTCTAATTCCCATCATCATCATCATCAACCAGGAGCCTTCTACATACACACCTCAAAGTAAGTGTACTTTACTGCATTTATTTTTAGTTTCTATGTAATTTTCGGTGAGCTGGAACCAATAACCCAAACACCCATTGAAACAATGGTTTCGGTTAACGAATTTTTCGGTTAATAAGCAACCTTCTGGAACGAATTGTGCTCATTAACCGAGGGACCACTGTAATTGTTTACACAGCATACCAGTATAGCACCTTGATAGTACAATCTATAAACGGTATGATAGTAGAACATTATGGTACACCTGGCTTACAATCCGCTATTTGCATCTGCTGTTGTAAACAAACTGCCAGTGGCGCCACCAACACCAAGCGGCCGGCTGCGAAACTATAGTTCCGTTACACTGTCAGCAGCACAGCAGCACGGCTTAGACTTAAACTGTCATCCGCTGCAGCACTGTTGTTTGAAGAGCTTGCAAACTCAACAACTTTCAGCTTGAAACTTGTGTCATATTTCATCCTTTTTGCAGGGGAGCCATGGGGATAAGATATTGTCAACTGTTGTCAGGTTGGTGTGTGGGTAATGAGTGGATGCCAGGAAGAGCATAACGCCACAATGGTTTAGTAAATTGCCATGTAGGCTTGTTCAGTGTTTGGGGGATACACTGAACAAGCCTACATGGATGTGTTGTGAGAATTTGTAATAGTTTTGGGAAGCTGTTCGTGTAGAAATTGTCATAAAATCGTTCAAAAAATGTGGTATCTCAAGTGCAATGGATGGGGGAGGATGATGATTTGTTGTGGCGAGACAGTGACGAGGAGGAGGAGGATGACAGCAAATATAATGAAGACGACATCAGAAGTTCCAGTGATTTGGACCCATATGCAGACCTCTTTATGTTAGAAGATGAACAGCCAGCAGACTTTGAAGGATTTTAAAATGTGATCATACATGGTTTTATTGTCAATAAAATATAACTGAAGTAAAATTAATCTTGAAGTTAAAGTTTTAACTTTTTATCTTAGAGTTAAGGTTTTAATTACGGTCTCATTGTGTGTATATCCAATAAACTGCCATTATGTATTATTAAACTGTCATTACCCCTGTAGTGTATGTGAACTCACAATCTATAGCACTATCATAAAAGTGCTCAGATGGCACCATATCGTAGTACAGGGTAGTTGTCTGGCTGGCTGCCTGGGTTTAGTGGCGATATGAACGATTGTTTACTGTCCATCAGCTGTTGTAAATGGCGTGTGGTGTTGTGTTCGTTTAATTATACTGGAATTTACTATTTTATTATAATCTCTATGTTAAATAAGTTTATCAAACATGAATTTCAGTAGGAAGTATTAGCGGCAGGCCACGGGAGTTATGCTAAGTGATGCAGTGTTAGGCCGGCTGTTCCACTTGTTTACCACTATGTGGTACAGCTTCACATTTTATACTCGGAGTATAAGTCGACCCCTGGTTTTGGAGAGATTTTTCCAAGCTTAAAATGTCGACTTATACGTAGCAATTTACGGTAGGTCCTCTCAGGTATCCTCTTCCAAAAGATACCAGTCTCATCCCATTGAAGACTTGCTTTGATGAGTAGCCTCCTTCCTGGATAATCCATTTGAATTCTGGCAGGAATGTCTCTGCAGCAACAGTATCTGAAATGGCAGCTTCACCAGTCATCTTTATGTTGTGGAAGTTATACCGACGCTTAAATCGTTAAAACCATCCTCGGGTGGCCGTAAAGGTCTCTTCCTTCGATCCTTCACCCTCTGTTTCCTTTACGTCATCAAACAAGGATCTGGATTTGTGCTGGATAACCATAAGGCTCATACACAGGCGCATTGTGTTGATTCTGGTCCTCCAGCCACATAGCCAGCATCTTTTCCACTTTTTCTATCACAGTGCTTCTAGTACGAGTTGTTTTAGTTGCACTCAGAGAAGTACCACTTCCAGCACTAACCTTAATCTTGTCAGCGTTGGTCCGGATAGTACGCATCATTGTGGGGGTTAGGCCAAGCACAATGGCTATGTCCACAGCACGTTCCCCTTTTTAAAAACGGGCTAATACATCCATTTTCGTAGCCTTGGAAGTCTCTTCAAATGGTTAGAGTACAGTTTTAGAGCCACAGCACTTGAGCACACACGTTTCGGGACCCTGTGACGTTCCGCGAGTGAGGGTAGTGCGCCGAGCCAAGAGCACAGTAGAAAGTAGTCCGTGACGACGCAAAACGACGTAGTATCCGATCACCGTGACGTTAAACGAATTTTTGGTCTCTTAAAGTTTAGCGACGTAGTATAGAAACATTAAGCGGGACGACGAGGACTTACTGAATATATATAGTATTGTACATTAAATTTACTTACTCTTTTGATTTTTTTTATGCAAATAATATTGCTTCAGTCTTTCCAAAGTGTAGGAATAATTTGTTGTTTATGAGCCAATGTTTGCATGACTCCAGTTCAGATGATAACTCGTTAGCTCCGTTGTTTAGCTCTGTACCTGACACTAAAGAGCATTGTCATCAGCATACAACAAAAGTTTATTAATGAGCATGTTGTTTACATAACACAGGAAGAGCAAAGGTCCCAGGAACTCCCTTGTGGGACTCTACAGGCTATTGGCACAGGCGTTGATTTGGTATTAATTGCAATGACAATTTGTTTCCCGTTAAACCAGTGCAGTAACAACCCCCATAACTTGGCATCTGATAGGTCGGCACAACACCACACAGTTTTTAGTAGCTAGTGAGTAACTTTGCTGGATTTGTTTTTTTCAATATATATTTTTTAGGTAAATGTGCATATTACAACAACCATGGAATTTAAAGAAAAAAATTTGGTTTTCTGATGGTTTTGATGCGATTAGTTCAAATCTGACCTTCGTTTTTGTCGGAAATCACTCGTTTGTGATTTAGCCCCCATAGTTCTATCGATTGCATGTTCTGAGTTCCCGGTACTCTGTGCTGCTAACTTATACCATATAACCAAACTAAACCTTACCTAACAACCTAGCCATCCCCGGTGATCCCTAGCCTAGACCCCGAACCCCCAAACGCTATGTAGTAACCCTAGAGTAGTGTGGTTAGCCTCCACGAGAATATAAATAGCCGTTGCAGTATTTCTTACCTTACTGAGTCAGGGACCAGAATACGCCATGGGTTCTCTGTTCTCTAAAGTTTCATTATTTTTAGAATGAAATACCACAATAAACTTCCAATAATCGACATCGCACACACCACGTTATGGCTCCCATGTTGCAGCTGATTAAAAATAGCCCGCATCTTACCACCCACGCCGAATATTGAACACTAATTGGTCGACTCAAAAGTTGATTTTTTATTGGATTTGATTGGCTGCAGCCCCTGTCCTAAATTTGATTGCCTCCCCCCTCCCCCACATGTGCCCGGGAGGTATGCGAACGTACGAACACACATAATTTGAGCAACAGCATAGAGGCAGCGGGTGATCTGATTTTATTCTTTTTAAAATTCAATAACTTCCTTATTATCAATTTGAGACGGAAGTGTAATATAAAAAAATTTCGATAATTATACAGGACTAACCCGCAGGCGAAATTGATTGAAAACAATTATAAAAACGCCTAATTTTCATTGTTATATTATAGGGGACACTGTTGTAGTTGTGGAAATATGTTAAAAAACGGATATTTTAAAAATAAAGGCTACTTAACATTTGTGGTTATGAAGAACAGACCTAACCAACTAAACCAAACCTTCCTACCTACCTAACCTTACCTAACTTCCCCGGTATATTAAACAGAAAGAACTTACAGTACTATGAAATGGTGAAATTTGAGGCATTTCTGGATGTGAGATTATATGGCCGCATCGGCGCTGTGTAGCCCAGCGGGTATGACCTATATATTAACCAAATTATCATAGACAAAATAGTTCTATCAATTGAGTGTAGTGAATTCTGTGGTTGCTGTAAACTGCATAATTACCATTTTTTATTAAGTGGCTGGATAACCCTTACCCTTACCTTACATATTACCTTATTTTTTTACAACTCAAGCCCTGGCTAACACCACCCATAATATATATCTTTACAATTACCAATACAATTGTAGTGGTGGGTTATTGGCTGTTATTAAAGAAAACAACTTTACATCCATTATATAATTATCTGAAATAATTCTGATGAGGAAGAAAAGTAAAGCATTACCTTATATACACTAAAGGCATTAAAAGCAATATTTATGTGAAGAATCCTATTGTAAATAAGCCATTAGGTGTATAAGTGTATAACTCAACCATCTTTCAGTTAACTAAATATATAAACTACCATCATACGAGTTACAGTACAATACAGTTTAACACACATAATACACCTCCAGGACCAAGATGATTCACTTCCCACATCACCGTTTCACCCTAGATCCCTCAACACTATACACCGTGTAATATCCAAGATGGTATAATAGGTTTAAAGGTGTGGTGTCTCTCCTAATAGACTTACGTTTAACTTTACTCTGTTCAGCTGCAGCTTGAGTAGACATTTTCCTGATGACTCTTCAATACTTGTTGATGGCGGCCACTACCTCACCCTGACGCCCTAAACTCTTTATAAAACGACTATTAGCGGTTTACTCATTAACAACTATATTAATCATTTATAAAAAATATATTTCATTGCTTTCTTAGTGAAATATTATATTTTTATCTTTTATAACCTGAATATCTATAATAATATAAAGGCAACTCATCTGGAGCCTTTATACAGAGTCATGCAAAAACTTACAGTCGTCTCCCCACCGCCCCATATTTATAGGTGACCCACACTGTGTCACCTCAACGTTATTTACCTAAAAATAAAACTAAAAATTATAGTTTCCAAGCGGGTAATCCATCCACAATATAATGTTAATCTTATTGAGGTGATAGAGGAGAGTACAGTATTGATGCGCTTGATTTTGTTTTGTTTTAAATTGCTTCGTAATAAAAGGACAATTAATGACGATGGCTACTGAAAAATATAAGAAAAATTACATAAAACTAAATCATCATAACGAGCATACACTGATAGAAAATACTATATCTTTAAGTAAGTGGCCGCTGTTTATGTTAAGGGAGGGAGGGTAAATGTACTCCTCTTGTAGGCTTTGGCATATAAAAAAAATTGCTAAGTTTTCTCATAAGTTTAGTTGTGTCGGCCCTCATTTAACTGCAGGAGTACAGTAACGGATCAAGGATGTTCCGCACTTCTTTCCTTTAAACTAATACACTGTCTCATTAAGGTCCTCCACTACCACTGGGAGTCACAGTATGTCAACATTTTCTTGTAAATCAGGTCTGATGATTTACTTCGACTGTACTCCTGCTGGTACGTAACCCACACTTTAGTATGCTGGTGAAGTTCTCTTGTCGCCCCTCCCCCCTACCTAAGCAGTACGAAAGGCTGAAAATCAAACTGGAAGGGTACGGAATTCGGGGAACTGTCTTAGCGTGGATAGAAGACCTTCTACATGACGGCAATATTGTAGGTAGTAGGTAGAAGGTAGCTACCAAACAGGGAGGTACTACCGCCTGGGAAGATATTGGAAGCATAATGTGTTGTCCAATGGTAGACCCTGCTGCCATATGGTATCACAAAAATTGACCAAGTCCCAGGTTAATGATCTGTCTTTCTGCCTCATTTACACAAAATTCCAGGGTCTCAATTGTTTCTCTTACTATTGACAACACAACATACATACTGTTGTTTCTCACTATTGATTGATTTTTTAATTTGTGTATTTATTTACTATTATTATTATTATTATTATAATTTTTATTTATTTTAGTAATTATTATTTTTATTTTTTTTTATTGGGCACACCCCCCCCGCCCGTACTTCCTTGTGTAAGGTGAAGCGCAGAAGCATTTACAGCGCCCAACAGGGAAGCATGCTAAGTTCATGCTTGCCTTATGTCTCATGAGTTAAGGGCGTAGAAGCCTGAAGAGTCAAGGGCGTAGAAGCTTGAAGAGTCAAGGGCGTGGAAGCTTGAAGAGTCAAGGGCGTAGAAGCCTAAAGAGTAAAGGGCGTAGAAACCTGAAGGGTCAATGGTTTATGTCTAAGCAAGTTATTGGAAGCTCCAGCAACTTGTCCCTGAATACGAATTCGCAACTTTCGATTTACAGCAGGTACCTACTGTGCTGCTAGGTGAACAGGGACCAAGATTTTATTATATTTCGCCCTCCAGGCCCTGATGTGGTTCAGTGACCTGTGTCCGGGTGTGCTAATCACCGTAAAAAAAAAACAGTTTGTGGTGATTAATGGCACGAAATCATCATCCGTACCTGTCACAAGTGGGGTACCACAGGGCAGTGTATTGGGCCCGCTGTTGTTTGTTTGTTTCATAAATGACATGCCTGACGTTGTGCACTCCTCCATACAAATGTTTGCCGATGACGCCAAGTTATTTCGGGAAATCAAGAACCAAGTGGACTGTGTAGAGCTGCATAAGGACCTCTGTGGGCTCCAAGAATGGTCGAAGAAATGGCTGCTGAGATTCAATGTCACGAAGTGTAAGAGGATGCACCTGGGGCGTACCAACGGTAAGGAGGCGTACCATATGTCCCAACGGGATGAAGAAACTGCACTATTTGAGACTGAATGTGAGAAGGACCTACAGTAGGTGTGTATGTTGACAATGAGCTGAAGTTCTCGGGCCATTGCGAGAAGAAGGTAAATCAGGAAAATAAATTATTGCGTTCTTAGAAGAAGGTGAAGTGCTTCCCCATCTGGAGTACTGTCACCCCGCCTGGCCCCCGAGATATGCTAGGGACTGTCAGTTGGTTGAAAATGTTCAAAGGAGGGCCACCAGACTGGTGCCTGCACTTCGGCACCTCAGCTACCCTGAGAGATTGGAGCGCCTGAACTTGCCTAGCTTATACTACAGACGGGCAAGGGGAGACCTAACTGAGGTGTATAAGCATCTCAAGGGGCACTACTCAGTCGAGTGTCCTTACTTAGAGCTGGTGGACGCTCGCCCCACAAGGGGTCACAGCTCAAGATTGAAGAAACCGCAAGTCCAGAAAACTGTGAAGGCAAACTTTTTCGAAGTGAGAGTTGAGAACTCTTGGAACAATCTACCAGAAAGTGTTGTGACGGCACCGAGTGTGAGCTCTTTCAAGACCAGACTTGACCAACACTGGAGCGGGTTCAGGTACATTCAGGAGCCGGTGCATGCCCAGTATTTGCCAACAGTGCGTAACAGAGACGTGACCGATCGCCCAAGCGACGAACGAGCCGATCAGTGGTGAAGAGGATAAAAGGAAAAGTAAGAAAAGAGGCTCGTTGCACAAGTCTCTTAGCACTCTGGGATGCACCATGTCAGAACTGGGGCTCTTATGGACCTTTAGCTTTGACAGTTTATATCTAATACCCTCTTCTGTGAACACAATGTGGGTCAGTGCTGTGTCGAACTGTCTGTCCTCAAACGCAGGAAGGTTAATCGCATCCTCTCTTGTGAACACCGAGGAAAAGAAGCTGTTTAATGCCTCAGCTTTATCCTGGTCAGAATTGCGTAACTAGCATCTTCAAGCCTCAGGTCAGATATTCTTACTCGCGTTTTTAATTTTTGACTTTGCATAGCGGTAAAGCGCCTTTGGGTTTGACTAACAACTGGCCCAGTACTGCCCTGTGGTAACCCACTTGTCACAGGTACACAAGACGATTTCGTCGTGCCTTTCATTATCACACACTGCTTGTGGTCACGAAAAAAAGTCTCCGATTCACGCTAGGACACTTCCCCTCTGTCCTGCGTGGCAGTGAGAAGTGATAACACCACCAGTGTCAAGACCTTGTAGTGGATTTCTCCCCTACAAACGCTGTTTGTCGCTGAGTAGCCGACCCCACCAATTCCCCAGTGTATGCCTCGTGGTCTAGGTCAACCATCACGGAGCGGGGGTCAACTGAACCAAACAACTTGAACCCCACAACCTGACTGAATTACCCAGAATAGGAAAACTGTACTCCAAGCTTTATCAATAAATTTGTTAACCTTAACCAAACCCGAATCCCGAACCTTTCCAGTTTAATTCTCAACTTTTCATGGGGTACGCTGTAGGAAGCCTTGGCAATATTTAATATGAAGGTAATAAAATGATGGCGAAGATGTGTCTGTTGGGGGAGGCTGAAGGCCACTACAGTAGTAAGAGCGTGCTGCGCCACCCTGTAGGTGAAGGAGTATTGGAACACGACATACCGGACGTGACGTCACGGCTCATGGCGGCTGTTATTCAGCAAGAGTGAGACAAACAAGGCTGAGTGAAGGATTATACAGAACAACACACGCCGAAAATGGTGGTTCTTACGCTTAAAAACCTGCAACAGCAAACCTTCACCGTAGAAATAGAATTGTCTGCCACGGTGAGTCACCTTAATGTTCAATACTCGTTAAGTTGTGAGAAGTTTGTGGTAAAGTTATCTTGTGTTGGTCTCTGTTAGTGTTGAAGCTGCATTTATGTTAACGAGGGTCAGCTGCTCACTTGTGGTTCAGCTGTTCAGGCCACTACACTGCTACACCTCTTATGCTTTACACTGTCCAAGTTTTTTTTATAATTTACTCCCCAAAATCTCCAAAAAAAAAAAGATCTCCTAAATCTGTACTTTAGTTTATCAATGTGAACAAAGTAATTGAACATTCCAGTTACTCTAAATCATATTAATATCAGCACATGACTGTTGTTAATGGCTGTACTGTATTATTGAAGAATGTAAATTATATGAAACTAACTAACCTTTATCAAATCTATACATTACTGCAAGTTATTAAGGAACTTTGCCTTAACACGAAGATTTACATATTTCTTATTAATATTTTTACTATGTTTTTACTACTCCTATACACCAATCTGTTAGGGATCCAAGCCAAATGGGAACAAATTGACAAGAAGAAGTTTGAAGACTCATGTGTTCATTTGCTTTAGTCTAGTCACACACACACACACACACACACACACACACACACACACACCCCTCCCCTCTTACTTCCTTGCCTGATTTATTATAGATAAGATGAACTAGTGATCTTGTATTTAATGAGTGCCCTTATTCGGGGTCTGCCCATTTCGACACTAACCTGTTTTCTCCCCACATTTTTACCTGTTTCGTCACTGTGTTCATTCTCATCACCATTTTAAGGGCATTACATTCCAGAAAATTCTTACATATTTAATACATCAATATATACACGAAAATTTCACTAAATTTGCCAAAATAACTGTTGCATGGGATAGAAAACAATCAAAACACCTTGTTCACAAAATTGTTTTACGGAATTATACCTCGGCATAACTATAGGTAAAGGTGCAGACAATGGCTACCACCAGAAGGAAGTGTCCCAGTTGGTTTAAATTTTTTTCTACACACTTAATATCATGATACTAAACACAAATGGAAACAACAATAGAACCTAATAGAACATAGGTTGGGTATGTTAGGTCAGGTTCTATTAGGTTCTGTTCATTATCGTGTTAATTTATGTGTTAAATAACTCGCCTTAATATTGAGGTTGACATAAATCAGCAGTGGCGAAGAGGAATACGTGGAAGCGTTAACCATCATTTAGGAAACATCTCTTGAAGAGGAATTCAGCAAAAATAAAGAAAACATCTTCAGCTGGTAGTCTTTATCTACACCTTTATCTAACAATACATTGGATCATGCAAGCATCTGACTAAGACAATTTATTAAAGACAAAAAAAAAACTTCATGCAAGACTAAATTAAAAAAAAAAGGTTAATATATAGGACTAACCCATGAGTGAAAAATCACAATATTGTCATTACTCCTCAATCTTGGAAGAAGACCGACAAATTTTTAGGAAATTAGAAGTGGTGATATTTTTTCTTCATATTCATCCCACAGCTTCCAGAGATGGACTTGTTTGTCATGATTTGCTTTTCTTGTGCACGATTTTAGCTTGTGCTCAGCAACTACAGCTCCTCCCTGACTTACGACGGGGTTAGGGACCCAAATCCAGGTCGTAAGTTGGAAATGCTTAATTAATACATAGAAAATCTAAAATGGGTGTCTCTTTTTCTTCTCAGCACCATAAAACACTCAGTTTTAAGCTTGCCAGCCATTTTAAAGTGAATTACAAATTTTTTTTTTGTCTGTGTACTGACTTTGGGACTCGAAAATACGTAATTTGACCAAAATTTGGTACGACTGAGGCAGGTCGTAAGTGCGGGTGGTCGTAAATTGAGTAGGTCGTAAGTCGGGGAGGAGCTGTAGTTGTAATTGCAAATCAGTGAAGAAGAAATAACCTTCAATTGTTCTGTATTTTGTTTATTTACCAATGTTTTAATCATTTCCTTTATTAAATAATGAATATTCATGTATAATACAGGTATTACTTCTCTAGTCGTCTGTATACATGTGTAATTTCTATTCGTGTAAAATAATACCATGTAACTTCAATTTGTCACTAATACCAGCGACTGTTAGTGGTGACGAAATGGGGTTATCCCCTGAGCACACCACGAGACTGACTTGGCTCGACGATGTCTTCCTTCAGCATTCTAGACACTTCAGAATCAATAAACTTCCTGTCGTTATGTGAATAACGCCTTGATTTCACTGCTATTGGCTTGCAGTCAGGTGTCAGGTAGTCAAACAATGATAGAAATGGGACTTTAACAGCGGCAAACCCACACACCGTCAGGGCGGGCTTGGAGCCTCCGAACGGAATTTGAACCGCTGAGTGCTGCTGTAGGAAGTCGTGTCCAAGAATAGCATCACTACAGACGTCCAGCATCACACAGTCTAACATCACTGTACTTAGTGTAACTGAGTTCCAGATTAATTATACAATATCCCAGAACCCTCGAGGTAAGAAACTATTTGCCATAGACACCTTTCCCACACAAGGGAAGAATTTCCATCCATGCATGTGTACAATACTAGAGCTGACAAAGCTTTCAGAGCTACCGGTATCAACGAGTGCGGTGACAAGACCTCCGTTTATCTTAGCTTTTATCACAGTCCTTGACAGACAGCCAGGAGGTGCAGCAGAGAGTGTTGCCAGTGTTGAGAATGATTCAGAGGTGAACTTAGCAGATTGGCACACTTTAGCATAATGGCCTTTCTTTTTGCAGTTGAGACACAGTATATCCCTTGCAGGACACTTGGAGTGGGGGTGTCTACCAAGACCACAGTAGAAACATTTCAGATTGCCAGCAGCCACAGTTACTGGCTGTTCAGTTGGGGCAGATGTGGGTGAAGTGCTTCAAGGCAGATTTAAAACTGCTTCCCGATTTGGAGTAGCCATTACAGCATTAATAGTGTCAGGTTGCATATATGAAATAGACTTTCTGGGCCATCTCCAATGTATGGGCCTGTTCATATGCAGTCTGCAAGTCTAGTGTTTTATTCTCAAGCAGGTTCTGTCGTAATTGGTGAGCTTGAAGTCCGTTAATGAATGCATCTCTGATGTAATTGTTGCGTGCCTCCTCGGCTGGGACTGTTTGAAAATTACAGTCCTTACTCGGGGTCTTCAGTGCTTGCAGGTACTGGTCCAGAGTCTCTCCAGCTTCTTGACGACAAGTTGCTAAAACGTGTCTGGCAAAGATCTCATTTTTAGGTTTGATGTAAAGCTCCTTGAGCGTGTTAACAGCATCTTCGTAGTTGATCAGGAGATTTAGCCTGTTCGGCTGAGTGGCCTCAGTTGTGAGTGCATCCAGAAAGTTTGTAAAAGTTGGGTGCCAGTGAGCCCACTGCTTGGCGGCTGATGCTGAGTTTGGCTCCACATCAAAATGGTCTGGCCTCATAAACCTCTCCATCATTAAGTTGAATAAATTGTTATAAATTGTAAGCATTGGGAGGCTTTATTCAACTTAATGCAACATCAGTATCCATAGATCTGTAATTAACAGAATAAACAGGAATTACAAATTAGGAATGACTAAGCTTCAAGTAACAGAATTGGCTTAACACAAATAAACATAACATAAGAAATATAAGAGAACTTCAAACAATATAACATCATCCCCTTATTCACATTATATTATATATCGTTCATAAAACCAACCTAACCTAACCAAGAATTACTTTGGTTATGTTCTATTTTATAAAGGAAGAACTGAAGCTCACAACTGGCTCAGTCATGTTATTATTGACTCTGTATTTGTCTGGCTAAATAAAATGTATCAATATCAATAGGTGAATGTTGCGTTAGCCTGTTGATGTTGGCAGAATGTTTAGGTTAGCACTGGTAGCTAGCTAAATGTGGGATCAATTTGTAGTTTCGACCAACCAACGAAGTTTTTGATGAGAATATGTCATCTGATGGTTTAGACAGTTTTATGACCCTTATCTTCTCTGAAGTTACCCTCACAAATGACTTAAAATTACTTAACCTAACCAGGGAGTTCTGCCCCCTGGATCCCCCAGTATATACAGTAGTCATTTGTCAGAAGAAAAGTGTCTGAAAATTGTCTAAACCATTGGATGACATTTTTTCATCAAAAACTTCGTTGGTTGGTCAAAACTACAGATTGACCAATTGTGGTCTGAACACCGGGGAGGAATATTATGGGGCACAAAGTACAGTAATTATATAATAATGCTTTGGTGGAGCTTAAGTTTAGGTAGATTAGGTTAAGTTAGGTTTGGTAGGTTAAATTACCATAACAGCATCTGTTGCTTGGGGAAGTTCCCAAATTAGCTGAATATAAACAAGTGCACTTGTGATTTTATGCTTGTTGAATATTGTACAAGGTTACTGATGACCCAACCAAACATGTGTACCTAAGTTACCTGTCCTAGGATGGAGGTACAGTACAATATGTTAGGTTAGTTGGGAAAGGTTGCTGGGAATCATTCACTCCCTTGGTGTTCTGTCAGTTGATAGAAATGTTCACTTGCCATCATGGTGGACAGCAGATTTGTTTACAACAGTAACCTTGGTAAAAGTAAGTAATAATAATAATTTAATGGTGGAGGAGACAGCACCAGAAAGGCATTATGGAATTGCACCGAATTTTCAGATGATGCGTGGATGATACCTTGTAAGAAAATTGAAATGACAATGCACATAACCTATTAGAACCTGACCTCCTGACCTGACCTCACCAAACCCCACCCTACCTCACCTCACCTAACTTCCTAACGTGTGCATTGTCGTTTTGATTTTCTTACTACAGTATCATCCAAACAACATCTCTAGAAAAAAGAAAAAATTCAATCTAAGATAAATTGTAATAAACACGCTGGATGAGATCGTCGTTCGTTTCTTTACATTTAAACCCATGAACCTTCCCATAAATAATTTATTTCTTCACCTTCTAAGAACAGAGAGATGTGAAATTAGTGCTAGATGATCAGTGTTCACAGTGTTTTTACCCCATTATTCCCGTCTTTCATGCCCTGCTCACTAACAAGTAATTTATGATCAAACGATGGGCTAAAAAAATATATACAGTATATATGTTAGTGTTGTCGTTTCCATTTTCTTACCGAGTATCATCCAGGCAACATCTGAAAATTTGGTACAATTCCATAATTTCTTTCAGGTGCTAAACGTTTCCTCCACCAGAGGGAATTGTCTAAAGTACGTAGTTGGCTGTCACGGAATTATTTATTATATTTACGTACGGCACGGGGATGGATATATGTACAGTGGTCCATCGGTTAACGAACACAATTCGTTGCACAGAGTCGTTCGTTAACCGAAACTTTTGTGAACTGAATTCATTGTTTCAATGGGATATTGGGTAATTGGTTCCAGCTCACAGGAAAGTACATATAAAGTAAAAAAAATGCAGTAAAGTACACTTACTTTGTGTATGTAGAAGGTTCCTAGTTGATGATGATGATGGGAATTAGAAGTGGGGGTGGAGGAGAAGGGAGAAGAGAAGGAAGTGGGGATGGAGAATTCACCATTCAGGGGACCCATGCTTGATGCAGTCATTTCACCAATAAAATTTTAAGTTCACTAGGTGTAATTCAAGATTATTTTATTTAAATTAACACTGCACTGTGCTATATATTATCAATATGTTAACTAAATTTCAGAATGGCCAATAATTTCAATGTAAAAATGCAGAAATATTCAAGACACCAACAAAATCGATGTTCACTCCACTGTCAACAAAGCCAAACTGACGCCAGGTGGCCCAGTCAAGCGGCTGATGGGCACACAAAAAACTAGTTCCCTGTACTGCATATACTATCAATATGTTAACTAAATTTTAAAATGACTAATAATTTTAATATAAAAAATGCAAAAATATTAAAAGAGCTCAACTTTTTTTATATTCAATCCACTGGAAACGAATGTAAACTTAGAACAGATTACTGAATTGGCAGACTGGCCCATCAGTTGATCAGCTGATGCTCACAACAAAATGTGTTGTTCGTAAGGATTTCGTTAATTGAAGTTTTGTTAGTTAACCTAATTGAAGATCCTTATGGGAGGTAATTCATTAACCGAAATTTGGTTACTCGAACCGTTCGTTAACCGAGTGACCACTGTGCTGTGTGTGTGTTTCTTACCGTAGAGTTCGATACCTTCACACTGGTTACTTACAGGAGATTATGGTGTATCAACGTAGAAATTCACTCAACTGCCCGACATTCCATGTTATTTATACTAATAAATGATAATTTAATGAATTCCATTAATTTCCAACATCTATCTCAGTTATTGGTTATACTTTGTCATAACCAATCAGTCATTACCTTTAGTAATAATAAGATAGGATCACAGATACGTGCAGATAATTGCACTTACATTTATTTGGCAAGCTTCCATACAGTGATTTACAATTTGCATAGATATACGAGTCGCTCACATTCACTCCGTAATAAAATTAATCTTGTAAAGAAGGAATTTTCAACTTGGGGGGAGACATGATTACTCTACTATGGTATGACTTAACAGCCTTAATTCTTCAAGTGATACATTCAATGCCAGCCTGGATCGCTCTTGTTGCAACCAGGCTTCCACACAGGATCATCTTTACATGGGAAATAACAAACCTGGGGTTGGTACACATAGTCTCGTGTCACTGACAGTCGTTGTAGATGGTGTCGCGCAGGAGAACTATTAAGGTGACTTGGGTTGACACTTAGTCTCTTTTCACTGACAGTCCACAGGATGGTGTCGTGGTAAAGGACTCTGTGTAGCATCCTGTTCCCTTAAGGAAAGGGAGGATGAGGACGTCTCAACTCTACCTACCCATGGTCTAGGGTCTACTGGCTAAAAATTGGGTTTTGGGGCGTGAGACAAGATGAACAATACAACAGTCTCAACCCCCTCAGTCTGGCTCACATACCCACTAATGAAATAGTGATGACAGAGTCACGGCTTGCCTGGTGTCTTATCTCCCATAAAACAAACATTGGAGTTGGGTTGTGTGAGTAGATCTAACACAACCCATGACATTGGTCAACCTGTGTTACTGTTTTCTTAGTACTGTTCTGTACAGTACAGTACTGTAATGTTCTGTACAGTACTGTAATGTTGCTCTTGTTAACTTTAATTAATTATGTAATTAGAATTTCCTGAGAGTTTAATGTCAATAATTGACCAAGTTGTCAGATGCTGCCATTCTTGTTCACATTTATTACGAGCATAAATAATTACAGTCTAGTAAGTTGGAAGGGATGTGGTCACAGTGTGCTGCTGCTGGGATGTATCCAAGGTACAACATATAGTGCTAGTTGAAGTGTACTACTGTACCAGCCTCCTGGTCATAATATACCATTGTTATTTTTTAGGCTGTGGTTATATTTTCTGGCCACAGACGTTTACCATGTACTGTACTTACTGCCACTGTTTATCTGGCATTACAATAGTTCTGATTTATTAAACTTAATCTAACATACCTTAACCTAACCTAACCTAACCTAACCTAACTGTAGATGTACTGTCCATGCTCCGACATTAAATCATGTGTAATACATATAAATAAAATCAACCTTTTTACAGTATACTTATATTATTTTTATTTTTTTTACAACATACATCTGACATTGTCCATCACCTGTATCTATCTTGTGTGTCCTGTGTGGAGTATTTGGTGATGTTCCCCAAAGGTCAGCTTTAAGAACTACCCACTTAGTTAAGGATTGCACACACTGTACCAAGTAGCCGACAAGCCACATGTTGTTGGTGTCTTCATCTAGCTCCCGCCCCCCCTAATACAGTGTTTTCACTATACAGTACACTCAAGAAGGTAATAAGGCTGTTGTTGAAGCTGACCTTTGGGTATAATTATCATAATACATGTACAGTACAGTATATACTTTACTGTTCCTTGTATTGATTTGTGAGAACCATTTGTGGCTGACCTGAGACAAGGAGTGAGAGTGGCTGCCAGGGGGTCTCTTCCCTCTACTGTAGTTTGAACCTTTTATTCTGCTCCTCCTTTTAAAGCAACATTCCCAGGGGTCTAGACTACTGGCTCGTGTCACTGTCTGGTTGTGGGCTAAACCATAAATGGGGCTAAAGGGTTATTTGTAATGTTAGTGAAACCTTTTATGTGAAAAGGCAGGTGAAATACCCCAGCACAGGTGCTTAAGGAGTTACTATGTGGAGAGAATATTTCCTGGCTCCTCCTTAAAGGTTTATGGTGTACTGTACAGTGTGACCAAACATTTTTCATTACTCTACTGTATAGTGCGCTAAATATTTGTTGTTCTTACTGTAGCTTCTCTACATTTTTAGGGGATTAATTCTCTTATTTTCTTGAACCTGAAGAAACTGAGCAACTAATTTCTGACACTATAGGATTAACCCATATTAATACCTGTATGCAGTAGTACAGTTGTTTTAAGCTCATCTGCATATTATATTTTTATTTATTTTAAAGATTTTGTTATGTTTTATATTGTGTGTGACTTGTCTCTTGACACACCCCTGACCTGACCTCTCATTGTACTGTAGACTTATAATGCTATTTGTGTTACCCTCAGGTGAGAGCTCTAAAAGAAAAAGTGGAGAAAGAAAAAGGCACAGATTATCCTGCCATTGGTCAGAAACTTATTTATGCAGGTAAGGCAAATACATGTGTGTGTGTGTGTGTGTGTGTGTGTTAAGCTAGTGAAGTGTCTTAATGTGAGAACTATTGACAACTTGTATGACACTCCCTACAGCCCTTTATGAGGCTTTGTTATGGGATATGGAAGTGATGTTAACCTAAGAATGATGATTACATTACTGATTAATATTATGTTGATAATTTGTATGTGAGCTGCACTTGGCTGTATACTCTAACACACTGCCTTACACTACTAACACTCTTCCTCATGCTCTAACACTCTTCCTCACACTCTAACACTCTTCCTCACACTCTAACACAATGCCTCACACTCTAACACTCTTCCTCACACTACTAACACTCTTCCTCACACTCTAACACTCTTCCTCACACTCTAACACTCTTCCTCACACTCTAACACTCTTCCTCACACTCTAACACAATGCCTCACACTCTAACACACTGCCTTAAGAACATAAGAACATAAGAAAATAAGGAGTCTGCAATAGGCCGGTTGGCCTGTGCATGGCAGCTACTGTCGAGAGTTACTACCACTCTCTATCATCCATGAATCTATCGAGCCTCCTTTTGAAACTTTCCAGCATTCCAGCACGTACTACAAAGTTGCTAAGCTTGTTCCACTCGTCCACCACCCTATTTGTGAACCAGTTCCTTCCTATTTCCCTCCTAAACCTAACTTATTCAACTTAAATCCGCTGCTCCGAGTCCTATTCTGCTCGGATATTATAAGAACTTTATCTATATCCCCTTTATTGATTCCTTTCACCCACTTAAATACTTCTATCATATCTCCCCACACTCTTCGTCTTTCTAGGGAATGCAAGTTTAGTTTCTTTAACCTATCCTGATATGGGAGGTTTCTAGGTCCCGGAATCATTTTCGTCATTCTTCGCTGCACCGACTTTAGTGAATTGATATCCATGCTATAATAAGGGCACCAGAACTGAACCGCATAATCGAGGTGCGGCCTGACTAGTGCAAGATATAGTTGCAATAAGACCTCTGCACTCTTATTACTTACACTTCTAGATATAAAACCCAATACTCTGTTTGCCTTATTTCGAACATTAACGCACTGTTTTTTAGGCCGTAGGTCCGGGCTTACAAGTACCCCTAAGTCTCTTTCACAAGTCGACTTCTCTAGGTTGATGTTGTTAAGGCTGTATACATTGACAGTATTTGTTCTTCCAATATTAAGTACGCCTCACACTCGAACACACTGCCTTATACTCTTAACCTTTCCCTCTTGCCAGGTGTAAGTATTATACACCGGTACAGTAGAACAATGGCAGTCGTCAAAACTACCCACTGTTCATGTTGTGCTTTGTCTCTTATTAGGACAAACTGCCTCTTAATCCAGCATTAGTAACTGTGGTGCTTAATGATCACTTTTAAAACTACAAAGCATTTTATCTTTATATATAACATTTAAGCACAGAATTTGTAACATATACACTTATAGTCAAGGTGTGTAATCTAACAACTATGCTATACACCAAGGCACAGGACCTCGGGCAATGCAGTACAGCACCAGTGTTAGACTTGCTGAGATGAACGTCCCTAAACACCATTACATCTGGTCTGCAACACTAAACTATGTAGTGTGTAGTGCAGTGTCTGAATCGCCTCGCCTTTCACTTACCGTCCACGGTTTAGGATCATAATTAGTTGAGAGCTTGTCTTTCTTGGTTTGCTTCAGGAGCACTTGATCAGTTGGTCTCAATTCCGCTAGTTTGGACTTATTTCTGTTGTCTGTCCGGAGTTTCAGTTTCTCCTTTTCTCTTTTATCTCTCTTGCGTGCCACATCCCAACATGTCACTTGTGTGTCTTCCAAGTCATGATTCACTTGGGGAGTTTCACCTTGATGTTCCTTCCCATGAGGAGTTTGGCTGGCGTCTCTCCCGTCATCGAGTGAGGGGTGTTCCTGTAGTGCATCAAGAATTTACCGAGTTGCCGTCTCCAATCTTTCCCCTCGGTATGCATCGCTTGGAGTGCTTTCAACATGGTCGCGAAGAACCGCTCGATTTCCCCATTTGCTTGGGGATGATATGGTGTCACTTTGTGGTGTTTTATTCCCCATTCTTCACAGAACTGTGCAAACTCCTTGGCTCTGAACTGTGGTCCGTTATCTGACACGATGACCGTTGGGATGCCGTGTGTAGTGATGCATCCTTCGATCAGGGTCGTAACGGTATCGGTGTTGTTAGATTTGACCACAAAGGCTTCTGGCCACCGGGATCCTGCAGCGATGATTCCCAGCACATAGTCACCACGAGGGAACGGTCCACATATGTCCACGTGGATTACCTCCCACGGCCCCTTCATCTCAGACAGATTCACCGGATTGGCTTGTTTTCTTGTCTCGAGGCTTGCACATGGGATGCATTGTCTGATTGCCTTCTCCACGTCCTTGTTGATAGTTGGCCACCATACCTTGCCTCGGTGTAGCGCCTTGGTCTTGACCATTCCCAGGTGTGTCTCATGTGTGAGTTGCATTGTGCGTCGTTGTAGTGTTTGGGGCATTACGATCCGGGATCCCCTCAACACGAGTCCCCGTTTTTATGTCAGTTCTGCACGTACGTGTTTGAAAGGCTCCGTTAGTTTATCCGTCCAGTCATTCTTGGCGATGGCGTCTTCGAGAGCTCTTATAGTCGGATCCTTCCCCGATTCTTCTAGAATTTCGGAGTGCCATAGCTTTTGGGATCCCGTTGGCAACCACATAGTTGATGAATCCCTCTGCCAGTTTCTCTTCTAAAGAGATTTGAGCATCGAATGGCAGGGGTTGTCTAGACAGTATGTCTGCCGGATTGTCACTTCCTTTCATGTGTTGGACCTTGAAGTCGTACTGTTGCATACGTAGGATCCACCGGAGTATACGGGCTGATGGTTTGCCTTTCGGGCTGAAGATGGTCGTTAGCGCTCGTTGATCGGTCATGATGGTGAATTCTTTCCCTTAAAGATATAGATGAAATTTTTCACATGCCCAAACTATGGCTAAGGCTTCCCTCTCCAGCTGACATTACCGTCTTTCCACCTGAGTCAGTGTTTGGGAGGCATAACTGATGGGTTTGAGTTCCCCTTGGTGGTGTTGGCATAGCATTGCCCCTAGTCGTACCGGACTAGCATCCACAATTAGTGTGGTTGGTAGCTGAGGGTTGAAGTGCATGAGTGCCTCGCTCTTCATGATGGCCTCCTTCAGCTTGTTGAACCACCACTCTTCTTTTTCTGTCCAGGTCCACTTGCTGTTCATTCTCATCAGGTTTTTTAGGTGTTCGCTCAATGTCGCTAATCATGGTATGAACCTGGTCAGGTAGTTGATCAGACCTAGGAAGCTGCGGACTTCCTGAACCATTTCTGGCCGTCTGAACCTCTTCACGGCTTTGATTTTTTCATCTGTCGATTTGATGCCCTCTTTGGATACAGTGAATCCATGGAATTCAACTTCATCTATGTGGAACATGCTTTGTGTTGGGAGATGGTCAGGTTGTTCTCCTTCAACTTTTGCAGTACTTTTTCCAGAGCACTGTTGTGTTCACTCGTATCCTTGCCCCAGACCAGGATGTCATCCGCTCCATTCCGACAATTTGGACACTTGCAAAATCTGTTGTAGCAGACGTTGTCCTTTTTCCGCGGCTGATGCAATGCCCTTGACTAACACCTTGTACCTGTAGATACCGGAGTCGCACGAGAATGTTATGTCTCTCGATTCGGGGGTTAGCTCGATCTGATGATAGTATGAGTTTAGGTCGATTTTTGAGAATTTCGTGGCCCCGTTGATTTTGCTGAGTAGTTGTTCCACGGTTGGTATAGGATGGCGTATGCGTTTCACCGCTTTGTTTGCTGTGCGGAGGTCTGCGCATATCCTGATATCTCCATCTGGTCTTGTAGCAGTCACCAATGGGGACACCCACAGTGTAGGGCCTTCCATGCTCTCGATGATATCATTATCTAGCATTTCTTGTATCTTCTGTTCGACTGCCCCTCGAATGTGAAATGGTACTCTCCGAGGTGGCTGTGCGACGGGTTTGACATTTGGGTCGATGTCGAGCTTGAGTTGGAAGTTTTTCATTCTCCCCAGTCCATTGAGCGCCGGTAGATGTTGCTCCAGTATCCCCCGGGTTGATGAAGGCATCTCACTGGTCGTAATCCGGTTACTCTGGTGGATACTGAGAAGGTCAAGATCCAAGCTGGCTCGCTTGCTCAGAATATTCCTTCCTTCCCTGTTTCTCTGTTGTTACCAGGATTTTGTGTGCGACTCTCTTCGATCCATTTGACAGTATTGCAAAGAACTCTCCTCGGGGTAGGATGGGAATGTTTCCATACGCTTATGGTTGGATATTCGTTTCCTTGAGTACTATGTTCGGTCGTATTTTGATGATGTGGTCGAATGTGCCCCCGTCAATTAGATTGACGTTTGCTCCCGAGTCAATCAACATTCCGACCGGTACGTCTTCTATCGTCACCTTTTCCTCTGCAGTGTCGTCTGATGTCACTCTGAACACATAGGTATGGCCATCGTCAGATTCTTTTGTGCTCTTGGACGACACCTGGTGTACGTGATTGTCGTCGTTACCCGTTGAACTGTGTGCCTTCATCTTGTTCCATCTGGCAAGCTTGGGCTTCAGTTGATTCATAAGTGTAAGCAATTTGTAGAGCTTTCTGTACGGTTATGTCTATTTCCTTCAGGTATGCACGACGCATTTTATGTGAAGTACATTTCTCCGTCACCTGGTTGATGAGGATTGTGACACACCTACACACAGAAGAGGTTTTAAGCCCACTAGGTACAACAGTATTAGATATTGGTGGCTAATGTGTTCTCCATTCATCTTAACTGTTGTTTGTCACAAAATTTATCAGACTGTGTTGTATATTACTCTAGTAAGATCATTAGCTGTGAAAACTGTTCTTATAAATAATACAACAAAATTCTTATGTTTTTTAGGTAAAATCCTCCAAGATGATACAACGCTCGACTCGTATAATATCGACGATAAGAAATTCCTGGTGATTATGGTGACTAAACCCAAGGCGGCCCCACCGCCTCCTGGTCCCACCGACCCCACAGTGATAGATGAGCCCATGGAAGCTTCCACCCAGGAGTCCACTGAACCTTCCTCATCGGTACCACCATCTCTTGTTATGTTGTACTGTACACCACCTGTTGTTATGTTGTACTGTACACCATCTCTTGTTATGTTGTACTGTACACCATCTCTTGTTATGTTGTACTGTACACCACCTCTTGTTATGTTGTTATGGCCCTCAACATGTCAAAAGCATTTGACAGGGTATGGCAAAAGTCTTGGCACAAGTCTTTGCTTTCTAAACTGCCCTCTTATGGTTTCTCTCCCCCACTTTGTTCTCTAATTTCTAGCTTCCTTGAGAACCGATCCATGGCAGTTTTTGTCGAGGGATCGATCTCTCGCTCTTTCTCTACCAGTAGTGGTGTCCCACAGGGTTCTGTTCTTTCACCTACTCTCTTCCTTCTTTTTATAAATGATTTACTTCACACTATGACTAGTTCTATCCATTCTTACGCTGATGATTCTACTCTTCATCTGTTTCTAGAGTTGATATCATTTCATCTATCAATGTGGATCTGTGCAGCATCTCAGAATGGGAAGGTAGAAACTTGGTTAAATTCAATAGTAATAAAACTCAGTATTTACCAATTACACTTTCCAAATTAGATGATCTCCCACCAATCACATTTCAGAACACATTCATTCTGCCAAATTCTAAAAAGTTGTGCTCGGCCTCACCATTTTCTCAAATATGTCATGGAAGCCACACATCCACAACATTGCTAAAGTTGCCTCCTGAAAGTTGGGAATGCTGTACAGATACCGTAGCTACTTCACTCCTGAGCAGTTGCTTCAAGTATATAAGGGATTCATTCGTCCTAACTTGGAGTACTGCTCTCATATCTGGGGTGGCTCTTCTTCTGTCTTATTAACTCTCCTGCTTTAGTTGACAATCTTTCTTCACCTTTCTCTTCGCCGCAATGTTGCTTCACTCTCTCTTTTACAGGTACTTTATCGTGCAATGTTCGGTGGATTTGGCATCCTGTGTACCGCCAGCAAGGCCGTGGGCTCGTAACACTCGTCTTGCCCGCAGTGCCCACCGTTTCTCCGTGAATGTCAGTCACACTAGAATGACCCGTTATAATACATCCTTCTTTCCTCACACAGCCAAACTGTGGAATGCATTGCCGCCCTCTGTGTTTCCACACTCATACAATGTCTCACTTCAAAAAGCTGGTTTTCCAGCATCATCGTGGTGTAGATTAAAAATTTTTTTTTACTCTTTTTTTTTCGCCCCTCAGGCCCTGATGTGGGTCAGTGACATGTGCCCATGTGGGCTATTCCCCGTAAAAAGGGGGGGGGGGCTAGAAAGGTCTTATGTGCTGCAGTGTAATAGATTTTTTTGTCAAGTACAGTATATACAGTACTGTGCTGTGCTTGGCTACAATATATTGTTTTGAATACTTGATTTTTAATTGAATTTGTGTAGCATCAAAGTGTGAGTCAATGATGTACACTATGTTAATATTTTATCTTCATTTGTCATCTTATTTTTGTGTATATATTTTTTTGATAGGGGGATGACAGCAAGGGCAGGAGGTGCTGGTCAGGGGGTGGCAGGAGGTGGTGGGCAGGGGGATGGGGTGATGTACAGAGACTTGATGCTGACAGGATAAGGAAGAAGAGAAGAGATGATTGATATAATTTAAGGAATTATATTTGTGGGTTTAATGTTAGCACAAAACTCCCTATAGATAGAACGTTTAAACTATGCCTGTGTGGACGGAGCTCACTTAATGTTTGTTTGTAGTCCGAAGAATTAGCTCTGCATTATACCAACTTTGAATCTCCAAGCTTAGTATGCTCAGTAAAGCCCCAAGTTACTATGGGAATGTGTCCACCAGTTTACCATTGTAAGTTGAATCCTTGAATTTGGAGCTATAACGTTCATTCACTTGTGAATTGAAGGTGCATTTCTGTCATTCATGTACAGAGTAAAGTAAATAATACAGGAAGTTCCATAATTTTCTTGGTAAGTCATTTGTTTAGAACTTGAAACTCCATTTCTCATAGACTCAATGTTATAAATAGTGGTTAAGTTCCCCAGCCAGCCCATAATTAAGCTGAGATATTGTATTTGTATACGTAATAACACAGGTTCATTGTGTAGAATCTGGTTATGAGAAACTCTACATTTTCTTAGGCTGAGTCCGACCTGTTTGTACTCTACCCAGCCAAACCCGAGTGTACTCACGTGACTCACACCCACACTCTGATGTTTATCCTGATTTATATTAAGTCACGTTGCTTGCCATTGCAGCATTGTCAAAAAGGCAACAGATAGCGTAATGGGTAACAGTCAAAGGAGAAATTATGGTACATTCTAATCTGATGGTAGTGTTGTTCTCAGGTTTTCTTGTCAAACACATTATTTGAGTTTCCAAAGACTAAAGAAAACAAAAAGTGAGAGGTTTTAAGGTTTACTGTGAGTGAAGGAAGGAGATGAAGTGCCTAGGTTCTTCATGCAAGTTATTTTGACTCATCCTTAATATTCTACCCACTACCTTTCTTAAAGTGCTTCAATATCTTCAATTTCACTCAAATTCACTTTATTATAGACTTGGCACCAGCGTCACATATATAATCACTTATTACACTCAATTTTGAAAGAGTTGTGAGAAAGAAGGCGTCAAACAACTCTGACTGAGGTAACACCATGGTGCACCATCCTTAATAGCAGTTGTGTTGTGAATGACTTTTTTAAGGCATAGTAGATGCACAGAATAGCTAATGCATTAGCTATTCTGTCTGCGCAGACGCTTCTGCTGAGTTGTGCGTACGACACCTTGAGAGGGAAAAGCAAACACCTTGATCAGGCGTTAGCGTGTGCAGCGCCCGAGTAAATAACAACCAATCAGCAAGTTCTCCCACTGAAAATAAGCAGATCATGGCCGCTTATGGAGAATATTTTGATTAATATTGAAGAGTTGGGGGGCTTGTAAGGCAATAAAAAAACTGATATAATAATAAAAATAATTCTATATGCAGTAGTATATTGGATAGGACCTAAAACAAAGCGTATGGCGTGAAAGAGTTGAAAAGGATCGTGCCAAGTTCAAACCTGTTTTGGCTCTGCCCGTTTTTAAGTGGGAGCTGTCCGATTTCATTAGCCGTTGGCGACTTTGGTGTAACAATATTGATAATTACTCCAATATCATTGGAACCTTAATATCCTTACTCATAAGATACTTTAAATAAGGGTGAACAAGTTGATTACAGTTCTGTAAGTGCAAAAATTAAGACTTAAACAAACCTGAAATTCGTCGTATTTCGTGTACAAATATGTGAACACCTCGCTGTGAGAGAAGAAGCACAGCTGCACTGGTTGTTACTTGTGGTTTCAGAGCCTGGAAGAAATTACCTTTACAACAGGTTGATTTTTTGTGTTATTCTTATTTATTGGTGACTGACTGACCTTTTTTCCTTTTTTGTCTTTCTCTCCATAATTTTCTATATATTTTCTTGACTATTTCTTTCTGTATTGTGTCCAAATAACAGTTCTCCTAATTTTATTGTTTTCTGAATACTGTTGTTCATCAGTTATTTCCAAGACGCGCTACAATGTTGTATTTTTTAATGGCAGTACGGGAAAGCTAACGCGTTAGCTATTCTGTGCATCTTAAAACGCCTTACAATAAATGGCTTTAATTAACTTATTTTTTAATCTTTACAATGTTTTTCACTTTATTTAGGAAAAAATGTGGTCATTGTGAATTAAGTATCAATTTAACTTCAATTGGGTCCTAATGTTATGTAAGAGTTTTATGTCACAAGTTGGACCACCACACAGTAACATGGGGTTTATTGTATACTTAAAACACTCAATAGTCTTAGAAGATTTACAGATATTATATTTAGGTAGAGTTCACCTCCAGGTGGTGAAACAGTCCTATCAATAAGTTCCCCCGTCACATGAGTAGTGCGACACTGAGGCGCGGTAACAACGCACCTGGAGGCAACTGTACATAGTGAAGGTTTATTTTCCCACAGTACCCGAGTGTTCCCGAGGGGCAGAAATAGAACTCTTTGTGTCCAAAGTAAAGATACGAGGAAACGCCGTTGAAGTTTTGCAATTTGGGACCAAGATTATGATAAGAATAATCTCCCATGAGGCTGCTTAGTGATTGTTCTCACCTGTAAGATCTTATTGTGACTTAATTTATTTCCTACTGGCTGGTAGAAAAACTGCGTCATTAACATATTCGTGATGTCCGTGTACAGTGATAGTCATTGTTCTGCTGACGAGATGATTTTTTCAGAGTGTGACCACGCCTTCTACAGAGGCATCATCCGTGGCAGCATCCACTACCACCAGCACCAGCACCACCACCACTACCACCAGCACCACCACCCAGCCTACAGCAGCATCCAACACACAGTCCACAACAGCCACACAGCCATCTACAGGGGGGTGAGTTGTTTGGCTTTCTTCTCTTAGTTACTGTTGGGGTAACTGCTAATAAAATTCACTACATTACTGGTTTTTGTCCATCCATCTTGATATATCTGTGAATGTGACAAGTCAACCAGTTACAAGTTATTGATCAAACAAGTCAACCAGTTACAAGTTATTGATCAAACAAGTCAACCATTAACAAGTTATGGTCCATTTGTGTCTAGGCTGATGGAGGACCCACGGCCCTTATGATTATTCTCTTGTTCTCACTTGATAAAGAGATAAAGTTGGGTATAACTCACACAGTATCACCATTAGCTATCCCACAGTGAGGTACAGAGTGCTTTATATAAAGAAGAACTTGGGCAGTATTTGGTGTGATGGAATAATGCTACTTTTATTTGGCAATTTGCAGACATTTGTTACAAGTGAATTGAAAACATTAAACTGTTGTCCTAATGCTGTCAGAGTACATGAACCAGTTTTGGTAATTGTGCAATTTTTTTCCTCATACACACTACTACTACTACTACTTTGCTGTCACGCGGAATTGAGTGTAACGATCATCCTGTTATGATAAAATGATATGAGGTATTGAGGATGTACACTTAGGCTGGCGAGTTCTGAGGTGACTAAAGAGGCCGATACAGGACCGACAGGATCGATCACAGATGTTGTACATGTGATGGGCTACATCTAGTGCCGGAGGGGCGGCGACAGCATCTTTCCGGCATTGGCACTTGTCTGCCTCGGTATGCAGTCGGGCTAACTCGAAAGTATTGACACCTTCTTGTGTGGTGCTCCTCCAAGCGTTATGGTGTGGAGTAATCATCTCCCAGATAAGGGTTGATTTGGCACTTTTCAGGTTTGTCTTAAGACTATCCTTACACCTTTTCAGTTGCCCACCAGCATTACGTTTACTATTCGTTAGGTGACTGTAAAGTAGCTGCTTTGGCAGTCTACTCTCGTCCATGCGGGAAACATGGCCAGTCCAGCGTAGTTGTTCATGGACAATGGTCGCCTCGATGCTCCTACAGTCGGTGTCAGCGAGAATACTGGCATTTGTGCGCTTGTCTTCCCAGCGAACTCAGAGGATGGAACGTAGACTACGTTGCTGAAAGTTTTCAAGAGCCTTATTGTACCTCCTGTATGTGACCCATGTCTCGCTACCATATAGCAGGGTGGGGAGGACCACAGCTCGATATACATGTAACTTTGTAGATAATTTCAGCTCTCTACGGCATAAGACACGGTTTTGGAGTCTGGCAAAGGCTTGAGATGCACATCTGATCCGATGCTGAATCGCTTTGTCGATGTCAGCGGTGGTGGACAGGTGGGAGCCGAGATACTGAAAGTGGGTAACATTAGAGAGGGTAGTACTGTTAAGGTGGATGGATGGTGGAGGTGTGTCTGAACCACATTGAGGTTGCTGGTCAGTCACTGCAGTAGAGAGCAGGTAGTGCAAATAATGCAAGTTTCTTGAAGCCTAATCTATGAGGCGCCATGCCTACTCAACGGCCGAGTGCGCACTGTACAGAACCATGACGGATGGTGTGAATACAGGGCAATTTTGATGGAACGGAGACGTGATGGATAGTGTGAATCAGCCCTTATCGAGGCACTTCCCCCCCCTCCTACGAAAATACAACAATAAAAAATTATTGATCCATAAATGTGTACATGTAATTATTAAATGTAAAAAGTAATACTTACCAACACTGCAGGTGAAGAATGGTAGGTGACACACAGGTATGATAGGTGACACAGAGGTATGGTAGGTGACAGGTATGGTAGGTGACACACAGGTATGGTAGGTGACACAGGTATGGTAGGTGACACACAGGTATGGTAGGTGACACAGAGGTATGGTAGGTGACACAGAGGTATGGTAGGTGACACAGATATGGTAGGTGATGCAGGTGGCCAGATATGCCAGATAATTTGTGTGTGTGCATTTCCCGAGTTCTACTAATACACTCCAAGACCATTATCCTGCTGAGTTATATGAAAGTCCGAGTTATTAAATGCTGAGTTATCGAAGGTTTACTGTATTGCCTTTATGTTGTTGTCCATATGATTATTTATTTATTTAAGACATTATGAATGTAAGAGTGTGTGTACATGTAACTGAATAAATTTGTGTTGAAAGATAGCATAAAGCATATACCGGTAGCTCACAGCTCAACCTGGTAGGGAAAGGGCTGCACACTACACAGTGACTTGAGTCTAACTTGGCAACAATGTCACCAGCAAAATTATTAACTGATGCAACGAAAAGGAAAATTATCTGTACAGTATAGTGTCGATTTACGTGGATTTCCTTTATGCGTTTGGTCATTTACGCGGCACCTGGCCAGACCGGCAATTATTAGTTACGCAGTACATTCCATCATTTACGCGGGAAGCGGCGCGGGCAGGGTGCGCACTAGGTCGCCCAATCAACAAAACATTACCGAGTTCTTCACCCACCACAGCCAGTCCAAGTCAGTGATAGTGAGGATATGGACTTTGAGGGGTTTGACAAAGAGGCCCTGCAAGCCTCTGTGGTGGATAGTGATACAAGTGATACAGGTGAGGGCCAATAATCTGCCCTCTGCCTCGGAACCAACCCCCCATCCCCGTGTGCTTAGCCATCTCTTCTGCTAATGTAAGTGTTAAAAAACCTAATATTATTGATGTTTCTCTTAAATATTAATTGTGTGTCAATACCATCATAAAATTAAGATGTTATTTTTACTACAACATACGTATTGTGTCGGAAAAAGGGTAGTCTGGTGGTCGGCCTAGTCTCTGTTTCAATTAATCCCATATGTTCTGTTATTTCGTTTACGCTTTTCTCGTTTTACGCGGACCTCCACGGGTTTAATTGACGGCATAAACCGAGACTATACTGTATATCTCCAGTTGTCAGGTTTTGTAAATTTAAAGCAGCATTACAGTACAGGATATTGAATGAGATTCTGTTCTTCAGGTCGCAGTATAAAGAATCTAGGGGTAAGGTAGGCAAGCCCAGGTTTATACTGTAGTTTGACCCCTACTTTGTGCATGAAGTTTTGATCCTAAAAACTGTAACTATACTTGAGTGTACCTTGTATATACTGTATATAGTGTTCTCCAGTTTACATGAGGTCATATAATGGTTCAGTAGCTACAGTTGTACCCTACTCATTGTTACACAGAGCCTTGTTCATTATAAACATGAGACACCATTAGAGATGTGTTACTACTGTTAGTTACAACTGTTACACTTGTAAACAATGTTTCTGTTACATTATAACAACTCCAGCTCACTAGTTAGTTACCTTAATCACAACTCATTGATTTAGTTACTGTAGTTATGAAGATGTTAATAATCGTCATGGTGTCTGGTCAGTAACATTTGGCCGAACAACATTTTTTCTCTCCATGGTCAAACTACTGTGCTGTGCTGCTTTTTTAATGCTTTAATTTTTATGTTGCCATTTGGTACAAAAGTTATAAATGTTAATTATCTTTAAGGAGGAGTCGTTATGTTAAACTAAACTGTCTTTATACCTGGAGGTTAAACTTAACTCCTCTTATCTTTGGGTCACCATCTCATTGTGGGAAATAGTGTAAAGGAACTAAACTTTTACAGGAGATATACATATTTTTAATTTAACATTTAAATACTTTTGTGTTGATACAGCTTAATTTGAGTTACGTATTTAATATTTTCTTCACCTCTACCAGCTGGTATAAAATGTGTAATCCTTGTGTTGTGTTTGACAGGTCCGTTGGTAGTGCAGAGTCATTGCTGGTAATGGGGGAAGAATTTAATCGCATGGTAGAAAATATAATGGAGATGGGCTACGAGAGGTTGCAGGTCAGTCCTCTCTATGTAATGCTGTACTCTTGTTATACCAGAAGCATGTTGGCTGTTAGGTGATGTTTACTGTGTGTATCAGTTCATTTTGTCAGTCTTCTCACACTCACAATAACTTGCCTCATGTTACACCAGGGGGGGTTACCTTTGGGTGAAGAAGCTGCCAGGGTTACCAATCATTAACTCTGACTTGATGAGGAGTAACCCAGGGAGTCACAGTATAGTTAATGGTGGAACAGGTGAGATGTGAATAGTTACTGTGCTCAGGTGTTCTATAAACTGTTGAGTTGGTTACAGCGATGCCTTGTTATGCCTGCAACACTAACTTGAGGAGTTCCAAGTTATCTGCCAGAGAATTAAGCAGACTCAAGAGACAGACAAAGGAACAGGTAAGTAGCCACCCCCTTCCCCTCTACCCAGACATTTAAGGGTAAATGTCTGAAAAAAGAAAAGAAAAAATTGTGTGAAACATCATTTTCTGTAAAAAGAGAAGTTTCACTATTTCTGGGCCTAATAATATCTCCAAAAGGTGTAAGAAATAGAGCATGTCAAGTTTACAGTTAATTTACTTTACAACTTTGGTCATTCTTAAATAAGTAAAGAAACTTATATACAAAAACATAAACTTTTCTGACTCTTCCCCACTTAAAGTTAATGTGGTTCAAACATAAAGGAGGTGCGGTAAGAGGGTCAAGACATGCCACACATAATTAAGTTAAATTAAATGCAAGTCACTACACTCACAAGATAAGTCAGGAGGTAAATACACACACACAAAGATGTAAGTCAGAATCAAACATCAATAATACGTACATGAATAAGAACAAATCCCTAAATACACAAATAAATAGTTAAGTTATACCAAGTAAAAATAATCCCTGTACAACGCTTTTGTAACCCTGTAGAAGCAGCTGAAGAGAGCGTAGAGATGTGTATCCTTGGGTCACGGTGCACTACCCTGGCTGGGGTTGGGATGACAAGTGACCTCCTTCCACTGTCCTAAGGAAGTGGGAGGAGCTTTGGGTTTAGGCGGGAACACCTTGACTATTATTAATCACAGTGCAAGTGTTTAAGTTCTTTCTTTTTTATTAAATTTTTCTATAGCAATTCTTTGTGTCTTTAATTTCACTTTTCTATTACCAATTTTACGGTTTTATATTTAATACTTTTGAACTTTTCACTGGAGAGATAATTGAACGTGGTATTTCCGGTACACAGACAGGTGGGGGCAACCACAGGATGCTTTGAAGGGGGGGGGGGGGTCACTGTGCTCTTTCATAGACAGCCGGCAGGTCTTGTAAGACGTACTGTACAGTTTAACTACATATTTACATGTAGTGAAATATGAAAATTTGTCATACAGTACAGTGTAGTATAGTATAGTATATAGTTGAATAACTTGTCTTCTGTGACCACCATGTTTATACAGTTAATATCTTCTCTGTTATGTGTGTATAAAACTAATATATATAATTATTTAGACCAAATTATATTTTTTGTGTCCTAACATAGTATAGATATATTACACACTAAATTAAGCACAATATACTGTTATTCTCTCCAAAACAGGCATACTGTACTGACATATTGTACTGTTTATGTTCAGCAACAACCAACCACATGTATTAATATATTTTATTATGAATCTATACTTTGGCAAGCTGTCATGTACAGTACTGTATGTAACACAGATTATGTAATGTTTCTCACTAGTATTCTCTCCTGCATGTTGTGTTTGTAAAATATTACAGTAATATATTGTATAATTGATCAGTTTTTCACTATTACAAACACAAAATGTTAAGATACTCTGATATATAGTAGACCCTTGCCATTCACGAGTTTGCGATTCGCGATTTCGACGATTGGCGGTAAGCAGTTGGTGGCTATGGTGGCTAGCTTGCAAGCCTTTCCCGCAGCACAACGAGTCATCCCACGCATCATCTCGTGTTGTACTCTCCAAACTTTAGTGTTTCTGTGTGAAATGGTCCCTAAAAGACTGCCTAGCGTCAGTGTTAGTGATGCTAGTGGAGTGAAATGTAAAAGGCAGAAGTCAGTGATGACCCTGACAAAGAAAGTTGAATTATTAGATGAGTTAAAGGAGGGGATGAGTGCTGCCGCCGCTGGTCACTTGTTTGGTATAGGTATACAGTAGTGCACAAAAGTAGTATTAGTTGCTATTCACGGTTGTGCCAATTCGTGCCATTTCTTGGAACCTATCCCTTGGTAATGACAGGGTCTACTGTATATTATACTACTGTATAGGATAATCAGTGTAGTCCACAGGTATTGCAGCCCACTAATAGAAATTTCTAATTTGTCTGCAATTTGTTAAATTTCAAGTCAAATATGTCAGATTTTTTTCGCTAGCTTATAGTCACACAATGGTTTATTTACCATATTATCTTGATGCAAATTTTAATACTAACCTTAAAGTTTATTTAAAAAAAAAAATCATATGTAACACATGTAGAATCAAAGTTTGTTTAGATTACCTACAATATAGAAATAATACAAACATTTACAGGTCTATGTCTTGTATATTCAAGCGGTGTGATCAGAGGTACGGGAGTCCCCAGGAACACTGTACGACCTTGGAAAAAAATTCAGGTCTGGCTCAGGTTGAGCGACGCTTTAGCTTATTCATAATTGTTGGGTTATTCGCGCCATAATTTAAAGCTGAGAAAACCGCGTTTAAAGTTTTTACAGACATGCATAACTTTGTTTTTTGAGTTACAGCATTTATTTTTGATGCATTTTGAAGCTAGAGGACTGTATTTCCAGATGGTAGGTAGTGCATCATGAAGTAATGTACTGAGTTGTTGCAATGTTGACTTGAAGCAACAAAACTCACCACCCACTTTTGGCATTTTTTACTTGAATCAATATCAGAGCGCAGATCCTGCCCGCTAGAGGGGGCGTGATATAGACAGCAGCCGCTCACTGTCATTGGCCGAGTCGGGGGAGGAGGCTGTGATTGGCCGCCCTCTCCTCTCGCTCGCTCACTCACTGACCAGATGAGAGCACGTCACGATGCAAAAGCCAATCCTTAAATTTCCTGTCTGCTACAAATCGATGTACTACCCTATTTGATAAGGGTTTTCAACCTTATTTACAGTGTAGTAAGGAGATCTTAACTACTATCGTATAGAGCTAGGCCAAAAATAGTGCTTTCCAACAAAAAAAACGGGTTTCTCCCAGATGGTCTGAATGCACGTTACGATGCTGGACGCTTCAAATAAAACATTACATCTCTCTGAATTCAATATAGTCAGTCAAAACAATGACTTTTTTATTTCTTCTTAAAAAAATTGTCTGATTTTTTTCTCAGATTTATGTGCGAGTAGATCACAGATTGCAGGCATTTCTGTCATTGAGTATTACAGTGTAGTGCAGTGTAGCACAGTGTAGTGCGGTACAGTGCAGTATGTATTGCAGTGTAGTGTGTAGTGTAGTGTAGCGTAGCATAGTGTAGTGTGGTACAGTGTAGTGTAGTGTAGTATGTATTGCAGTGTAGCATAGTGTAGTGCGGTACAGTGTAGTGTAGTATGTATTGCAGTGTAGTGTGTAGTGCAGTGTAGTGCTACACCACTGGCCTTATGTAACACTCCCATACTCTCATGTTTTATGATAGTGTTGTGTTATAAAAAGAGGATTACTTCCACCAACTCTTGTGGTGACCTTAAAGATAAAACTATTTCCTTTATTTTAATAACTATTAATTATGACAATATATTGCCTCTGCTAGGGAGTTCCTCTTCAGTATTTTCCTACAAACACAATTATTGTCTATTTTTTACACAAAGTTATTATCTCTGAATTTCAAATGAATTGGTTGGAAAATAGTTCATGTTTCCTGTCTGGGATTGACAACATGACCATACAGATAAATAATTGTTACTTCTCCCTATAGTAAGACAATATACTGTATCTATAATGACCACTGAAATATTTTAGATAATCAACATGTTTGTCCATCAGCTTCCAACTGTTAACCAAACATGTTAAACAATACTGTACTATTTTAATTGATCTCTTACAAAGTTTGTATTTCTGTGTTGGTAGTGAGAGATATCATGTCATCTTCTTTCTTACATATATACCATTACAATTAACAAATTTAAAGTATTTAGTAAGAGTACTGTGTAAGGTAGCAATATTACATGCCCCTAAAGTTAATATAGGGTACTGTAAGTTTCTACTGTAGATGGTTGAATTAACAATGTGGCCCCTGACTGTCTTATAAGTGTCCACAGTAAACACACACTAGTATTAATACAGTATATTTCTTTCAGTGTTAAGTGTGTATGGAATCACAACTGAAAGCCTCAAGTAATTTATCAGTTTACATCATATTTCACAAACATTGGAGCAAAAATCTGCTTGTTCATCACAGTTACTAGGCCACTACGGCATCCCAGAATCTTTGCCGTTGATAGATCTCAAGATTCGGGTTTTCTTACTTTAAAATCACTCACAATCAAGATGATGTACTAAAGCAAATGTTTGCAGCAGTGCACAGGATTTATGGCTCCTGACTATTATACTGTAGTATATATGAGCAGAAGTCTAGGTTTTACTGTACTGTAATGGGGAAATTATACTCTTTGTATTTTGATCACACTGGGTAATTGAGTGCCATTTCCTAAGGGTAAGGTGTTGTCGGTCTCAGGTTGAACGAGCGCTCAGGGCGAGCTTCAATAACCCGTACACGGCCGTCCAGTACCTAGTCGACGGCATCCCTCCCAACCTGGACGAGCCGGCGGCCAACCCAGCGGGGAGCGGAGAGGGGGAGGAGCAGGTCGCTGCCGAGGGAGAGCCCGACCCTGATGGTAAAGTTATCCTCTTTTAACTTTTATTGTTTGTCTTATGGAGTAACTCAATGCTTGGCAATATATTATAAGACTTAGTGTTCATGTAGCTATGTATCCTCCTTTAACCTTACTGTACATGCATGAGTGTTTTACCTGCTTCACTACTTGCCTTAAAGTGGAATAATTTAAACTTACTCTAATGAATAGTAATTGAGTTTTGTGAGACAGTACTGCACAGGGAGGAGTAGATATATAGTTGGGCGGCTTATTTGTTGGATAAAAGTCTTTGGTAATGGCATCGGCTTTGTAGAATATAAAGTGGTGTATTAGTTTCCAGTCTTCAGTTTAATCATCATCTTTGACGCAAACAATAAATCGCTTGTCATTTGGTCAACTTTGTTTATTTGTCAAGTTTGTGTTGTGGATCAAGTTCAGCAATCCCGGTGACTTGTGGTGCTATTGTACTGTTTGTTACCTCTTGTGGCTCATGGTGACTGTGGTGGCTCTCTTCCATAAAGCCACACACACATACCCCCTCTGTAAAGTGTATAACAATAATACAGACACACACACACACACACACACACACACATACATACATACACAAAAGCTTTAGATTATTTCCTGTGTTATGAACCGAGAACATTTGCAAAGGAAGAAGTTGCTACATAAAGATACATGTAGAGTACAGTAAACCTCTCAATACTGTAGCGTACTGTACTTGTTAATAATGGAGGTCTTATTGTCCAGTACAGTATAAGGAGTTAGTATTGGGAACATTGTACAGCGGCTCACTACTGCATCACGTCAAACAACACTCTGGCTTATGTAAGTGTTAAACACACTAAGATCTCTTCTTACCAGATTTTATTAAAGAAGTACTGTAATAATAAACAGCATCTACAGTATACTGTAGTGTACAGTACATGAACAGTAAAGTATTTAATAGAGTATTGTTTTCAATAAAACCACACAAGATTTTAAGATAAACCCACCTCTCGTTTTATGTGGGGGTCACGTTCTTGAAAATCACCGCTTAATTAAAAGATGCGTAAATTAAACAATTTTCCCCATAAGAATACATGTAAATGGTACAGGTTAGGGGAACCATCATACACCGTACAGGGTACCAACAGTGCTCTCACTTGAACCAAGGACACGGCCAACCCCCAACACACGCTCTCCTCTCTGAAGGCGGGCGATCACATTTAATTTCACGTCCATTGTGATTGTTTTTTGTGCCTTTTTAGCTTTAGGCGCCCCAGAGGAGGCAGATAGACATTTTCTAGACATGATCAATGGGGAAAACAGCGTTTAACACTAAAAAGGTATGTGATAAACACACAATGCAAATGAGAGCACAGAGAAAAGGTAGTGCTGATGTGAAGTGAGAAAGTGATGCCCTGGAAGCTTCCTGGACGTGGTCACAGTTGTTGTACAGAATACTTCATTATCATCATCAATAGTAGTAATGATCTTTATTATTACATTATTATAATGATTATTAATAATAATAATAATATTAAGATTGTTGATGTTATGACTGCGACTTTATAGTAATAACTTAAAGCACCTCACCAGGCATCACACGCGACTCCACTGCCAGGCGACCAAGCGAATATGCGTGGCAAATTTAAACTGTCTTGAGTGCGTTATTTAAAAAATAGGTGCACGTAAATTAGCTTTTGGTATTAATTGAACAATCACGTTATTCCAAAAACGCTTAAATCAGACACAAGTTACCTGTACTATTATCATTGTACAGCACTGGGGTGTGGTGGAGCTACTAGTACTATTATCATTGTACAGTACTGGGGTGTGGGGGAGCTACTAGTACTATTGTCATTGTACAGTACTGGGGTGTGGGGGAGCTACTAGTACTATTATCATTGTACAGTACTGGGGTGTGGTGGAGCTACTAGTACTATTATCATTGTACAGTACTGGGGTGTGGTGGAGCTACTAGTACTACTAGTACTATTATCATTGTACAGTACTGGGGTGTGGTGGAGCTACTAGTACTATTATCATTGTACAGTACTGGGGTGTGGACTGGATACTAGCTACATCATTGTACAGTACTGGGTGTGGTGGAGCTACTAGTACTATTATCATTGTACAGTACTGGGGTGTGGGGGAGCTACTAGTACTATTATCATTGTACAGTACTGGGGTGTGGGAGTACTAGTACTATTATCATTGTACAGTACTGGAGTGTGGGGGAGCTACTAGTACTATTATCATTGTACAGTACTGGGGTGTGGTGGAGCTACTAGTACTATTATCATTTTACAGTACTGGGGTGTGGTGGAGCTACTAGTACTATTATCATTGTACAGTACTGGGGTGTGGTGGAGCTACTAGTACTATTATCATTGTACAGTACTGGGGTGTGGGGGAGCTACTAGTACTATTGTCATTGTACAGTACTGGGGTGTGGGGGAGCTACTAGTACTATTATCATTGTACAGTACTGGAGTGTGGTGGAGCTACTAGTACTATTATCATTGTACAGTACTGGGGGAGCTACTAGTACTATTATCATTGTACAGTTGCTCACAGGGAGAGTATAGTGTTACCCTTGACACTATACTTGTCAGCAACTGTATATTACACTCATGCATTAATAAAGTACACTATTGATTTAACTAAAAGAATAATGTATACTTAATGTGGTACTGGAACCAACCCCCGGATGAGAGCAAATAGTTAACTGAGAAGCAGAGGATATGTATTCAAGGGGTGGCCAACCCTTCAATCTCAAGCCCTTCTCTAGTCGACCGCATGGCATAGTTAAACTTAATGATCCATCCTTCATAAGCTGCCATACAAAAATCATATTCCAATTTTACTCATCATCATTGGGATATAATTTTGTTTGGATTTTTTTCTGAGGAGGAAACTGGCCAGCAAGTTATCAGTTGTAGGCTAAAACTAAGCAAGTATTTGCTTTTATAAGTTTACAAATGCACGTTAAACCTTGTATTAATGAATTTGGTAATGACAAAGCCGACTCAATATTGAGGAGTCTTGTCAAAGGTAAATAGAATCATATTTGGCAGGCCTGTCCCTATGAACCTACACACGTGTCTTCAACAATGCAGTGATTTTCAGTCATCTGCAGTACTTGGAAGTGTGAGGTGCTGTCTCTTGTTATGGAAAAGTCTTGGGTGATTACGAGTATTTTGACTTTTTAGCTTAGCAACAGTTCTCGCTGCAACCCTAGAGTAGACAGAAGTGGCCACACTAGCCGGCGACTATTGCTAATGAAAAAAGTTAAAAACGTTACTGTGTTACGGTTAGTAATTCTCATATTCATGCAGGAAAAGTCATGGAAACAGTAATTCTTGTATTCACGTTATTGGCCATCAACTGAACCAAAAAATGAGTTCTGGACCAAGTACTGTATTAAAAAGACCAAAATTTACCTTTTTTGCAATGAATGGGAGGACTATTTTTTTACCATGATAATTTGAAGTGCGTGTGTCTGATCTGCCATGCGTCTCCAGCTCTAACTAAGAAAGGAAATCTTGAAAGGCATTTTCACAAGAAGTATGATTTCCCACCCAAAAGTGAGCTACAAAAGAGGAAAGCTCATGAACTGAAATCACAGCTTACTGCACGACAAACTCTTTTGACCGGCACGAACTCAAAATCAAGGGTAGCAACCATTGCATCATTCAGGATGAGTTGAGTACTTACAAAGCATGAAAAACCATTTCAAGATGGGGAAATATTCAAAGAGGCCTTTTTAGAAGCAGCATATTTGTTGTTTGAAAATGTCAAAACTAAGTCTGATATACTGTCTTCTATTAAGGATGTTCAGTTATCAAGGAACACTCAGGAGGCACTGAGGATTTATGGCTGAGGATTTGGGTGAACAACTGAATAAAGACATACATGAGTGTGTGTTGTTTTCATCACAGTTTGATAAGTCTATTGATGTGGTCGATACATCACAATTATGCATTTTCATTATAATGGTGTTTAAAGACATGAGTACCAAAGAGGAACTGCTGAAAATTGTACCATTAAAAGGAAAAACTTGGGGTGAAGACATATCAGACTTTCAGTGATTTTGTTAATAGTACACAGTTGCCAGTGAGTAAACATGTATCTATAACAACTGCAATTTCTCCAGAGATTGAGATCTGCTACCTGAAGTAAAAGTGTTTTTGGCCTCAAGAGATCGGCCTTTTGGTCACATCCAGTTGGGCAATGAAGTGTGGCTGTTAGATTTAGCTTTTTTAGTTGACATGACTGTTATGCTGAATGAACTAAACTTAGATCTGCAAAAGACATGATTAGTGCTGTGACTGCTTTCAAGCAGGGACTAAAACTAGTGTCTTCGCAGCTACAGCAACATCAAATATGAAGTGACGACTTTAACTTGGCAACGTGCCACCAACAATGTAAACAGATGCAATTACTGTATAACAAAAGTTTTTAGTTTCCATTAATTTATATTAATAGATAAGCACAGAAATGTTGCCACACACTAGCCTGCGGTACCTTACACTGCTTACTGTCCGTGTTCAGCACAGAATGCTCTTAGATGCCTGTGTCAGCAGCTTGGCATCTTGTGGTGTTCTGAAAAATGCCGTAATTTTTTCATATAAGCGGGATTTTCGTTCATTTACCGAAGCGCTGGAATAAATATGTGTGTGATTTTTATTTAGTTTTTTCATATGAGCAAATTTTCATAAATCGAAGTTGGGTAAATGGAAGGACTTCTGCACTAGATATTGTTGACCTTAGAAATAAAAGTGGAGTACACGGAGAACCTAGGAATCTTTTATCTCAACTGAGTACAGTACTTTTATCTCAACTAGAGGAATCTTTTATCTCAACTGAGTACAGTACAGTACAGTACAGTACAGTACACGGAGAACCTAAAGGAATCTTTTATCTCAACTGAGTACAGTACAGTACAGTACACGGAGAACCTAAAGGAATCTTTTATCTCAACTGAGTACAGTACAATACAGTACAGTACAGTACACGGAGAACCTAAAGGAATCTTTTATCTCAACTGAGTACAGTACAGTACAGTACACGGAGAACCTAAAGGAATCTTTTATCTCAACTGAGTACAGTACAGTACAGTACAGTACACGGAGAACCTAAAGGAATCTTTTATCTCAACTTAGTACAGTAATAGTACAGTACAGCACAGTACAGTACTCAGAGAACCTAAAGGAATCTTTTCATCTCAACCGAGTACAGTACAGTACAGTACAGTACAGTACAGTACACAGAGAACCTGAAGGAATCTTTTATCTCAACTGAGTACAGTATAGTACACAGAGAACCTAAAAGGAATCTTTTTTATCTCAACTGAGTATAGCATACAGTGTGCAGTGTAGTACAGTACAGTACAGTACAGTACAGTACAGTATTAATGAGAACCTAAAGGAATCTTTTTATCTCAACTGAGTACAGTACAGTACAGTGCAGTACAGTACAGCACAGGCACAGTACAGTACAGTACAGCATGCACAGCACACAGAGAACCCAAGGAATCTTTATCCCCAATTCGAGTACAGTACAGCACAGTACAGTACACAGAGAACCTTAAAGGAATCTTTTTATCTCAATCCGAGTACAGCATGTGCACAGTACAGTACAGTACACAGAGAACCTAAAGGAATCTTTCATCTCAACTGAGTACAGTACAGTACAGTACAGTACACAGAGAACCTAAAGGAATCTTTCATCTCAACTGAGTACAGTACAGTACAGTACAGTACAGTACAGTACACAGAGAACCTGAAGGAATCTTTTATCTCAACTGAGTACAGTACAGTACAGCACAGTACACAGAGAACCTGAAGGAATCTTTCATCTCAACTGAGTACAGTACAGTACAGTATAGTACACAGAGAACCTGAAGGAATCTTTCATCTCAACTGAGTACAGTACAGTACAGTACACAGAGAACCTGAAGGAATCTTTTATCTCAACTGAGTACAGTATAGTACAGTACAGTACAGTACAGTACACAGAGAACCTGAAGGAATCTTTCATCTCAACTGAGTACAGTACAGTACAGTACACAGAGAACCTAAAGGAATCTTTCATCTCAACATTCAAGAAAGGAATGTTAAGTAACTCCAGGGTGTTACCAACATCATTTTGTATACATTATACGTCCATTTATCCTCCTGTATTTGTGAGGGTTACATTTTTTAAATCTTCCTGTATCGTGAATTCTCAAATAATGAATTTAATACCTTAAAAAATTATAGAATAAGAAATCGTGGCCACCAAGATCATAACTTGGTTATAATATTTTGGGTTAGAACTGATAAATGTTTCCAAGATGGTGTTCATGTTTATATGGAGTGAGTTTTTGTGAAGCAAAGTAATAAATTTTAATAAAAAGAATTGGTTTCTCTAGTATGTATAATTTACATCTCGGTATGTAAATAAACACACAACATATCATTCGGGTTACTATAGTCTACCCTAGTAAAACCGTTTTTTTAATACAACGCAAAAGACTAAAAATTACAATATGTGGCTTAAAAATTAAAACAAATATAATAAAACTATAAAATAAGAAAAATGAAGAGCATAGGTGTGTGGAGGCAGTGAGCTGTACTGCGTCGCCTGCTTCACTCCCCTCATGTGACGTCATGGCACACACACGTCTCGGAGTCAGCCGGTTGACTGTGTGGCATCACCCAGGTGGTTGAGTGTGGAAGGAGCTATTTTTGGTACATAAAATATGTGCTATTATATTTTATGTTCTGCTATGTATCAGTTTTATTGTTTATGATAGCAATTTGTGTTAATAAAGCGGTTATAGCGCTACTGGTGGCAGACACCTGAATGAATGATTTTAGTTACTGAACAGGACCAAAGGGGACAAAGTTGGGATACCTGGATGATTCAAATAGTTGGAATTCGGATAAAAGGAATTGCACCGTAAATTAAATAAAGTCTACGACATGGAATTTACCGTAATAGTGGAGACGTTCTGCATACAGTGGCTGGCCTGACATGAATGGGGGTGGTTGTTGAGTGTCACTGGGTCAGTGTGGAATATTTATTCTGGTGTCCTAGACACTGTGATGCAGTGTACAGCACCTTATACCCATAATATTGGGGTGCTACAACAACCCCCCCTTCCTGGGTGCATGTACTGGGTGGAGTGAGGGGGAGGACGGCGTGGCACACGAGAGAACTGACTGACCTCGGAGTGTGTACTGCCGACGTTCGGTCACAACGGCCTCACAAATAGTTGAATTTCTATCGCAATTTTAGAATAAAAGGTCATTAATAATTTTTCGTGCTCAAGTGAATTTGCAAATATGGAGCCGGCACATACGAGGGGATAAGTGTACGGTAGAGAGAAGTGTGCCAACATTATTTTCTACACACTTTATGGAGCAGCAGTTTGTTTTAATGTGATTAAGTGTTGGAAAGATTGGTGTTATTTCTGACATGTGTATGTTTACACAGTACTGTAGTGAGGTACAAGTCTACCTCAAGTGGCATCATAAATGTTCTTTTGTCATCTTATGAGGATTATATTAAGACAACTACAAGACCCACTCATGTGCTGTAAATAGCTTGGATGTTTGTTAAGTAAGATTAAGTGATAGAGTAAGAATGTGGGGAAGGAGCGTTTATTCTTTATAATACTTAAAGCTGATGACATAAAAATGTTGATAATGGGACTTTTGGTTTCCTCAGAGGATCCTCTTAACTTCCTTCGATCACAGCCACAGTTTGAACAAATGCGACAGATGATTAGGTGAGTGTTTTAGTCATTCTTTTGGTCATACTCTGTTGGAATTTAGATTGAGTGATATTATTGCCGCACTAAAAGAGATTCTGCCGGTATTTTGCACATTTATAGTCAAGTGTTTATTAAGAGTCATGCTTCTTGAAAGAGACTCTGTGAGATTGTTTTATGAACTGGTAGTCTGCAAGCTTCTCACTCTTCACACTTTTATTAGAACACCTAAATTTATTTTGCAGGTCAAATCCATCACTTCTGGATGCATTTATTCAACAAATTGGTCAAACAAATCCCCAACTACTGCAGGTTATCCAGCAAAATCAGCAGGCCTTTGTCCGCATGTTGAATGAGGGCGGCAGCTCAGGAGGTACAGGTATACCAAAGGCCTAGTGTGTATGTATGTATGTGTGGGTGTATGTGTGGGTGCACATGTTCTGCACTTATTGGGAAACTTGTGTACATTTTTCACAACATAATACAGAAGTTGTTTTAAGGATATTTGATAAGCCTCAAGAATTTTACGATTTGGATTGAGTGGCAGCCTCTTTGAATGCTCCTGTTAAATGTCCACATAAGACAAGTGAATAGATCAATCTTGTTACATTTATTACAGTAGAGCCTACAGTATATTGGCATTTGAACAACTGCTTCCCAACTATATCTGGATTCTACACAAATGACAATCCATTTATGGATATTATGTGTCAGAGACAAAGTCCACTGACCCATCCAAGAGTTCCCTGAATGACTTGCTAACTCATTCACCTTTGTCACAGAAAGTGGTATTTCAGATACCACCACTGACTGCACACAACCCTGATGTGGACAAACTGTGCTCCACAGGGTGTCACGTCTTCTCCACTCACTGTACAGTATAGTATATGCTATTAAGTGAAATTTATTAGCATGAGAGGGCTACCGGTGGTAGGTACGCAATGTGTCGTTATTAAAAGGTGTGACTGGCCAGTGACCAGTCAAACAAAGGTTTTCAAAGGGGGGTTAAAAATATAGGATTATCAGGATAAGCTTTGGCAGCTTACAGAGTGATGTTATACAAGTATTGTTGGCCCACATTAGTCTGAGTTATCCCCAGGTAAAGTGTTTGATCATAGTGAAACAACATACAGTACAGGAGGCCTCCCAAGTTTGCGGATTTTTACTTCGCGGTTCTCAGTTATTCACGGATGACACCCTGGATGTACCCAAGAATGTCTAAGAGCAGTTTTAAAGTTGCTGGCGTTTTCACGGTCGGGACATGGGGCCATTCGTTCTAGAGACAGTAATTTCCTTTACCTGTATTGTATATGTGTGTCGACACACACATACACACATACAAAACACATACAAATAAATAATAATTGGAAAATCCTCTCACAAATAATTAGAAATAAATTTATTAAAAATGTGACAGTCTACCCTCAAGTTTGTTCTCTATTACAGCACTTTATTAATAAAGCACGGACTTGAAGGTAGACTCACATTTGTAATAAATTTGTTTGATTATTTATGAGAGGACTTTCCAATTATTATTTATTTGTATGTGTGTGTGTGTGTCTACACACACACACACACACACACACACACATATATATATATATATATATATATATATATATATATATATATATATAATACTACAAGTAAAAGAAATAATTGTCCTAAGGGCAAACACGTAAACGGAATATACATTTCTTTGTACACAAGTAAAAATGTACTCCCTCTCCTCCCCCCAGTCAGCAAATGTTATTTGGGGATTTGGCGATTCGCGGTCATTTTGCGAACCTATCCCCCGCCAATTTGGGGGTTCCCCTATACTGCAGTACAGTACACTTATACCATTGTCTATGAACATAATTTTGCACCCCAAGTGATTACCAAAATATTAGATAAAGGACACTTGTTAATTCAGGGGAACCATTGTTTGTTAATGAACTCACAGGTTGTAGTAGTGCAGTAGAATTGAATATTTCAATTAGTATTGTAATATTAGCTGTAATCTTATCTCTCTGTGGATAAGTCGGGCTCAGATAGTGGAGGCAATGTGCATTGATGATCGTGATGTAGTGTTGTTAAATGTGCTGTTGAAGTTAATGATCTTAGGCCTGGAGTTGTTGAGGGTCGAGGGAGTCTACGTGATGCTGACTATACAAGCCCCGCCCCCTTGCTGCTGACGATACAAGCCCCGCCCCCTTCCTGCCTGGAGTTGTTGAGGGTCGAGGGAGTCTACGTGATGCTGACTATACAAGCCCCGCCCCCTTGCTGCTGACGATACAAGCCCCGCCAAGGGTCGAGGGAGTCTACGTGATGCTGACTATACAAGCCCCGCCCCCTTGCTGCTGACGATACAAGCCCCGCCCCCTTGCCTGCCTGGAGTTGAGGGTCCGAGGGAGTCTCACGTGATGCTGACAATACAAGCTCCATAGCGCCCCTTCAGCTGTGATACAAGCTCCGCCCCCTTATACAAGCCCGCGCTGGCCGCTTGCAATACAAGCCCGCCCCCCTTGCTGCTGCACCTGCTGCGCCCCCGCCTGCTGCCCCGCCCCTGCTGGCGATACAAGCATACAAGCTGCCAAGCCCGCCCCCTTGCTGCTGACGATATACAAATACAACCCGCCTCCTTGCTTGCTGACAAAGCAGCCCGCCCCCTTGCTGCTGACGACGAAGCCCCGCCCCCCTGCAGCTGACAATACAAGCCCCCTCGCTGCTGACGATACAAGCCCTGCCCCTTGCTGCTGACGATACAAGCCCCGCCCCCGCCCCGCCCCCTTGCAGCTGACGATACAAGCCCCGCCCCCTTGCAGCTGATTGACTCACATACAGTCAGTCCTCGTCTTACAATGGGGTTAGGGACCGACGACCAGTTCGTAAGTCGAAAATGATACATAGAAAATCTAAAATGGGTGTCTCTTTTTCTTCTCAGCACCACAAGAACTCACTTTTATGCTTGCCAGCCATTTTAAAGGGAATTACAAACAAAAAAATTTTCAGTACACAGCGCGATCACTAACGTTGGGACTCGAAAATATGTAATTTGAAAAATATTTTATACGACTGCGGCGGTCATATGTCCGGGTGGTCGTAAGTTGAGTAGGTCCTAAGTCAAGGAGTACCTGTATAATGCTCGTTTAATATACTAGATACAGGTACTCCTCGACTTACGACCTGGTCGTCGGTCCCTAACCCCGTCGTAAGTTGAGGACTGACTGTATGTGAGAAATAAGTCCTAATAAACTAACTGCTAAGGAGACTTGGTTCTGGCTGAATTTAATGTGTGTAAAGATATACTGAAACTGTTTGGAAATATAACTTTTACGGGGAGCGTCCGGATGAAAATCAGAAAATTACGAAAATATTCAGAAAAAATCCTGGGAAAGCTGTTGCCTATGGCTATATGCTGACCTAATTTTATTGCATAATTCATAGTATTTATTTAGGTATGCATGATTGTTCTACCCCCCCTCCCCCCTTCATTTAGAGGACCCTTCTGTTTACACAGGAAAAGCTGTAGAAAAATATTTATGATAATATTTTGGTGTAAAGTAATATCAATCACTTGGGAAAAATCAGTATCTGGCACCTCTCAGCTAGCTAACCACGGACGCTGTCGTCACAACAGTCAGTGACCCATCAAACATGTGAGAGTGAGGTACGATCAGGAGTTGGTCTCGTGCCCCCTTTATCAGCCCTTATCTCAGAAAGAGTTTTTTTTACCTCCAAATCCCTAAGGCTGTCATTTATGGGCCGATTGTAATAAAACCAAAACTAAGTAGGAGAACTACATACTGTGCCTGGATGAACAGATAGATTTTTTTATATTTGACTTGGTTTATTATTTGCTGATTTATCTTTAAAAATATTTGGAGGAAAAAATGGTAAGTTAGGAAAAAAATTCATGTACCCAATACAAAAGTGATAATCAGAAATATCTACTGTATATATGTCAGGTTCAAGAGGAGTAAATTACCTATACTCCACATGACTTGACTTTCAATATAAATTAGTGAGAAGTTATGGAGAAGTAGGATTTAAAAAATTGATAAGAATATAAGGGAAAACTAGATATTAGGCAGAACTGATTCAGGGATATAGTAACATTGTATCTGGTGTCCTTAATTGATGACAGGGAATTGATGTTGATTGATCAATTATTAACGAATTTCGTGCTTCAGCCAGATGCTCCCTTTAAGATATGAGTGGAAAATGTTTGATATAAAGAATATTAAATATTCTTCGATGATAAATTTTACCGTTGAAGTCACAAACAAATTCATGCTTTCAGAGAACACATTCACCACTGCTTCTTCTCTTCAGTAATTATTATGTATATTAAGACAAATGACATCAAACATATAAAGCAACGTATAATAATGACCCTTTTATAAAGAGCAGAATCAAGCGTAAACCACATATTCACGTAAAGATGTCATTTAGGACGAAAGTTACGGGGAGGTAGTGCGCTTGGCAGCAGAGCAATTGAAATACAAGTCAATTTTTATTCAGGCTGTTCACTTTATATTTATCAAAAGGTGGGGAGAAACTTTGTTGTCAGAAGTCTTCATTTCTATTGTAGATTTTCTTTGTCTCCAGCTATCAGCATCACTCGTTACATAGCATTCACAAAGTGCTGTACTGTACTCTACTGTACTGTATTGTATTGTACTGTACTCTACTCTCTGTACTCTACTGTGCTGTATTGTACTATATTGTACTGTACTCTACTCTACTGTACTGTACTGTACTCTACTGTACTGTATTGTACTGAACTGTACTGTACTCTACTGTATTGTACTGTGCTGTACTCTACTCTACTTTACTCTACTCTACTCTACTCTACTCTACTCTACTGTATTGTACTGTAATGTATTGTACTGTACTGTACTGTACTGTACTGTACTGTACTGTATTGTACTGAACTGTACTGTATTGTACTGTACTGTACTGTTTTGTACTGTATTGTACTGTACTGTTTTGTACTGTACTGTATTGTATTGTACTGTACTGTACTATTTTGTTTTATACTGTACTGTACTGTTTTGTACCGTACTGTATTGTACTCTACTGTACTCTACTGTGCTCTACTGTACCTGTAAACAGTTTCCACAGTTGTTCCTCTTGGTCTGGTGAATTTCATGTTGTACAAACTGGTGTTAAGTTGGGACTACCTGAAGTAAGGGTAATATATTTATTTGGGTTTCATCTTTGTTCTCTGTAGATTCTTTAATCCTACATTCTTTCATTATGGAGTTAATGTGAAGAACGGTAGCTGTAGAGTGAAGAACATACAATCAGGTTCATCACCCTAAGTTAGAACAAGAGTGAATAGTGTCAGTTGTTAGATTGTAGCCATGGTGTATAGTGTCTACAGATGGATGGTGAGGAGTTTCTAGAAGAATTTGTGAGAATAGATGGGTGAGGCCAAACCATGGTGACTCTGTACTCTTGTTAATAGTGAAGCAGAGGGTTAAACAGTAAGTGTATTTTGTGTGCTTTACCAGGAATTAATTTTACTTTGTGTTTTTTCTTTTATTTTCACCACCATAACATCTTACAATGTTGTCTTTAGTTGTTTTATTGTTTTGAAAAAAAAATAGTTCATAACCTGTGGTGGGAGACTAATTTCATAAGTTTTATATTGGAATGTTTCAGGTGGCAGTACGGGAGGAAGTGGTGGTACGCAGAGTAGCGGCGGTGGGACCAGTGGCGGCAGTGGTAGTGGTCGTGCTGTCCCTGGCCAGAATGCCATCCTCGTTTCGCCTCAGGATAGGGATGCCATTGAGAGGGTAAGTTGGCTTTAGTAAAATGATTATCTTACTTCTCTGGCAGTGCAAAGTATATTGAAATGATTCATAGGTCAGTTTTAGTGAAGATTTGGTTAGGATATTGTTGTTCATATGTTGTGTTTTACTTATTGTACTGTACAGGCAGTCTAGGATTATGTTAGGTTAGTTTTGGGCTAGGTTATGTTAGGCTAGGTTATGTTAGGCTAGGTTATGTTAGGCTAGGTTATGTTAGGCCAGGTTATGTTAGGCCAGGTTATGTTAGGCCAGGTTATGTTAGGCCAGGTTATGTTAGGCCAGGTTATGTTAGGCTAGGTTATGTTAGGCTAGGTTATGTTAGGCTAGGCTAGGCTATGTTAGGCTAGGTTAGGTTAGGTTAGGTTATGTTTGACCAGGTTATGTTAGGCTAGGTTATGTTAGGCTAGGCTAGGTTAGGTATTATGTATTAGGCCAGGTTATGTTAGAGGTTATGTTAGGTTATGTTATGTTAGGCTAGTTAGGCTAGGCTATGTTGGTTATGTTTGACTGGTTATGTTAGGGCTAGGTTAGGTTAGGCTAGGTTGGGTAATGTTAGACTAGGTTAGGTTAGGTAATGTTAGACTAGGTTATGTTAGACTACGTTATGTTTGGTTAGGCTAGGTTATGTTAGGCTAGGTTATGTTAGGCTAGGTTATGTTAGGCTGGGTTATGTTAGACTACGTTATGTTTGGTTAGGTTAGGTTAGGCTAGGTTATGTTAGGCTAGGTTATGTTAGGCTAGGCTAGGCTATGTTAGGCTAGGTTAGTTAGGTTAGGCCAGGTTATGTTAGGCTAGGTTATGTTAGGCTAGGCTAGGTTAGGTAATGTTAGACTAGGTTAGGTTAGGTAATGTTAGACTAGGTTATGTTAGACTAGGTTATGTTAGACTACGTTATGTTTGGTTAGGCTAGGTTATGTTAGACTACGTTATGTTTGGTTAGGTTAGGTTAGGCTAGGTTATGTTAGGCTAGGTTATGTTAGGCTAGGTTATGTTTGACTAGGTTATGTTTGACTAGGTTATGTTAGGCCAGGTTATGTTAGGCTAGGTTATGTTGGGCTAGGTTATGTTAGGCCAGGCTAGGCTAGGCTAGATTAGGCTTGGCTATGTTGTCAATAAAATAACTTTAGAACACCTCAACAGAATCATTGATATCCAAAAAGAACAGTGAGGAGGAGCTGACCCCAATAACCAGTTACACTGAAAACATTTATAACATCACTACACATTTATAACATGAGAATGCTCTCAACTCAAATAACTTAAGAATCAATGTGTTGTATATGAAGCTCTTGCTGTGTGAATTGACCAACTCATCAGGGTAAGGAACGACAAATATTTTATTATGGAGAACAAGATTGTTGGGGGTGAAGGCGGCAGCACACTGGGCACTTTCCTCCAAACATGTTGGCCACTGGCCTGACGGCCCAGAAAGCAGCAGGCTTTCGGCTGTTACGAGAAATGGACGCTGGTTTGGCAGTGAGCTTTGCTAGCCGGGTTAGTGCTCAAATGAACTTCATATTACAGTCGGTGTTGAATATTCAAGTAAAAGTTAAAATAAATCACTGAACAATAATAATTTAAAATAATACTCTTAAAACGGTGACTGTTTCTATTTATTCATCATTTTCAAAACGTCTTTAGTATTATTAAATCATTATTCAGGGTCTTCTCTGACCAGCCAGCCACCGCCACTTGTAAACAAACTACATGACACAGCCATTCTCTTTTCTTAGCCTTTGTAGATGCCTCACTTCCTTCAGTAATTGAAGGACTATAGCACAGTCCTGCAAGGCATCAACTTGTTGTTTTTGTTGCATTGGGCAGACGCAGCAACAAATCATCCCAGTGTGACTCAAACGTCTGTGTTTTGCTGACTAGACTGTGTTTGCCTAACATTGTGTGCCGTTGCCTTAAGATGTGTTTGTCAGAATTTCCAAATAATTCTCACTAATGGATTTTTTTTTTCAGCTGAAGGCGCTGGGAAACTTTCCAGAGGATGTGGTAATCCAAGCTTACTTTGCCTGTGAGAAGAATGAGAATCTGGCTGCTGAGTTTCTCTTCAGTCAGACCTGGGATTAGGATTTAAATCTATATAACAAATTTTAAGTTAATTTAGAATATTAAATCTCTTGTTAAGTGCACGACTTAAGCTATGGGCCGATTACCAGTGGCTTGTTATTTCCAAATTTTTATGGAAAACGAATTATGTATACAGATTTTTTCATTTTAACTAAGTTTGAGTTGATAATATTATTAGGAGACCCTATGTTTAGTGTAGGCTATTGGCCTGCACTACTTGTTAAGTGGTTGTAAGCTTCAAACACCTGTGCTACCACTCCCTTGTGTACATAATGTGTGTGATAGCCTTCATGCAGTCTCATCTTACAACTACAGTACTCCTTCAGGCTGTAAAGGGTTGGAGATCAATTTCTTTATCCTGTGCCACCCGAATGTTAATGCTGATCGAGTTGGAAACCATTATCTGGCAAGACCTTATTTGTATTCCATCCAGAAAATTCTTAATCTTCATAATATGCAACTTTTTCTGTTTGTTATTTAAGTTTAACCACAAAAAAACCTGTTTTTGTTTTTTTTTAAATTAGGAATTATAAAGGAAATATTTTCTGAAGATCAAGTAAGGTATTCTCATGTTATTGGCCACACCAAAAATTTTTTTTATTTATATTTACATGAGAATGGCTAACTTTTAACACATCACGTGAACCATTGCCATCATTATTCACTTGGTGTTGCTTGAGGAGTTGTACACGTTGAGTGTGTGTAGTGCAGAACTTCCTATAACCCAAGAAAATTGTAGCAGCAGGCTTCTCTCTCTCAGAAATAAAAGAGTTGTATAGATTTCATTGCTCAATTTTCATAATGTTTTACTATTCAATCACTGTATAAAGCTTATTAAAGCTGGATGCTATGAATTGAAAATAGGGTTTATAAAGCAGGGACTGCTGTGTTATTAATATATGAGATGGTTGTACTGTACTGTACTGTGCTGTGCTGTGCTGTGCTGATCTGTACTGTGCTGTACTGTACTGTGCTGTACTATACTGTGCTGTACTGTGCTCTACTATACTGTGCAGTACAATACTGTGCTGTGCTGATCTGTACTGTACTGTGCTGTACTATACTGTGCAGTACAATGCTGTGCTGTGCTGTACTGTGCTGTGCTGTACTGTGCTGTACTGTACTATACTGTGCTGTACTGTGCTGATCTGTACTGTACTGTGCTGTACTATACTGTGCTGTACTGTGCTGATCTGTACTGTGCTGTACTGTACTGTGCTTTGCTGTACTATACTGCTGATCTGTACTGTGCTGTACTGTACTGTGCTTTGCTGTACTATACTGTGCTGTACTGTGATGATCTGTACTGTACTGTACTGTGCTGTGCTGTGCTTTGCTGTACTATGCTGATCTGTACTGTGCTGATCTGTGCTGTGCTTTGCTGTACTGTGCTGATCTGTACTGGACTGTGCTGTCTGTGCTGTACTTTACTTTCTGTACTGTACTTTCTGTACTGTACTGTACTTGCTGTACTGTACTTTCTGTACTGTACTTGCTGTACTATACTGTACATACTGTACTGTGCTGATCTGATCTGTACTGTGCTGTCTGTACTGTGCTGTACTTGCTGTACTGTGCTTTACTTGCTGTACTGTAATGTGCTGATCTGTACTGTACTGATCTGTACTATACTGTACTGATTTGTACTGTACTATACTATACTGATTTGTACTGTGCTGTACTGTACTTGCTGTACTGTACTGTTAAATTGCCTTTAAATGACACCCTTGTCCAGTCCTGTCTGAAGCTTTTACAGCACATTAGCAGAACACTTGTGAGTGAAATTTTTAATATTATGTTTATATTCAATATTTAGTTCTTTTTAGAGCTAGTTCCCTCACCCTGCCCATATCTGTCCTTCATGCATGGAATGTTGCTTGAGGCATGCAGTGCAACATTACTCTTCAAGAATTCCTGAAGTCTGACAAAACATAAATATCATGAATTCACTATGAGCACCTGCAGGAATATGAGCGACTATGGAAAAAATTCTTCCGCTTTTTGTGAGGGAAAGTGTGTTAGATGAAGGGTAATTTAAATTATAGTTTAATTCCTGTTGTGCAGGATAAATCTGTGTGCTTGAGAAAGTGGAGCAGCTAGCTAGTAGTGTAGGTGTTACAGCTGCTAATAACAACTGTACTGTACACGCCTCACAATGTACTGTATAAAGAATTTTGGCCTTGAAAATGTACGTTTCCTCTCTGCCATTCTGCTGGAGCTTGTAATGCTCACTCATTACCTCAGCTGCTCATGAGTTTTGCCACTAAGAGGCATTAATGACACCCAGATAGAATAAGTTGCCACTTGTGCTCTCCCTAGGCCTTACTTCAGTAGGGAAGCATTTTGTAAAAATATTTGTTAATATTTCTTGTGAAGAGGAATACGACCAGCAGGTTAAGCATTGTTTTTCTATCCTGTGCGCTGTATCCTGCAATGTGGATTGATTTTCTAGTTTTGTAAGGACACAAATGCAAGGTATGTTATTACATAATGGTTTGATTCTCAGTTGTAATTTTACAGTATATTTAAGGATGTACTATTCCGAGAAACTATCCTCGCACTTAAGAAAATGTAGATGATTTCAGAACATAGGTTTGCATGAGCCCTGTCATGGTAATGCATTTTTACCCAGACAGTTTGGGCATTGCACCTTGGGAAGTCCTACTAAGACATCTCTTGATATATGGGATAATTAAATTCTTGAAAGTGGTCTTGTAAATAAAAAATTAGTAAATCAAACAATGTAAATAGTGGTAGATTAGGGGGTTTAATTATTAATGAGACAGTACACAATATATTATGCCAGTGAAAAACTGCAGTTTATAAGTACCTGGAAATAAAGAACACTCCAGGCCTTTGCTTGTATCACAAGTATACTGACAGGAAGATTTTCAGGAGTTTGGTGTTTGATCCAAGTGCTCAACATTCATTCCATTCTCTCCATAATGGATCTTTGGGAATACACCTAGATGCAGTGAATGATGTCCCACTCTTGGCTTTCTCCTTGATCTTCTCTGCACTATCACCAATAGTCCTTAAAGTAGATTACCTTAGTTGGACACGAGTAATGTCAGCTGTTTGTTTACCTCTCGTAATGCTTGAGCACATCCATCTTAATCTTAATGGTGCTCACCTTACGCTTATTTGCACCACTGGTACAGTACCAGGAGAACTTAAAGGACAATTTGGTGGCATGATGCAAGGGGGAAAACACGTGCAATATACAGTACAATATACTGTAGCAGCTCTGTCATTATAGGCTGTATCCATGCAAGCCACATACCCATGCCTCGTGTACTGGCAACGCCACACCACACCGCAGCGCCGCTAGCCCAGTGATGACGTTTGTTGATGGTCGCATTATTCCAAAGAAGGCCACGTACAGGTATATTTAAATAGGATGTAAATGGACCACAAACATTCTTCTAAAAAGTGGCATTAAACAAACACGCATAAATCAAGAGATGCCTGTAATGTACAGTAATTGAAGTGGCTTTGAATGAAAATTATTAAATTATTACTGCATGTGCACAAAATTCACAGCAAATTATTGTGTGCGAGATATGTACTATGTATGTATACACAAATTGTTTGCTAGGTCGGGATAAAGGAACAAAAATACAAGATGTGTAGTGTTATGGTGGCCAGCAGGGACAACCCATGAGAGGCATGGCAGATATACTAGTATACTAACTAGGTGTATCACAATGTGCTATAATGCTACAAATTCACATTGGACTCATTCTGAGGTCAACTTTTGTGCAAATTTATATTGCACATGACAATTTTATTGTATTTTTTCATTTGAATTCCATATACTTCACTTATCATAAACTTAACATCCACCAACATCTTCCATGTCTTGTTCATAACTTAAATTTTCATCTTTGCAACTTCTTTCCTTGGTATGTTTTACCTTGCCTGTACAGTATCACACTTTTTGGGGACTCGGTAAGACCAGCCATCCTGACATCTTCACAAATTGGTCTACCGGTACTTTTACCGCGCCTTATTGATGCACTTCCCACTGAAAAGTATGCTAGATTTATGGAAAATTTGACTTAAGACTGGTCAAGAACACCTACCTCCTGTGGTGATGTATTGAACACTGAATTAATCTGGTCATTTCCATTTTGTTGGCATATCAGTAAGCCAGATGCCACCTTAACCATATTTTAATTCCACCCATAAGAGCCAGCTGTCAAGTGTATCAATGAGGTTATTGGTAGACAACATGTTTCATAACTGTACAGTACATGTGGTCATACTAATACAGTGTATACTGTACTGTACTACAATATACTGTACAGTACATGTGGTTGTACTAATACAGTATATACTGTACAGTACATGTGGTTATACTAATACAGTGTATACTGAACTGTACTACAATATACTGTACAGTACATGTGGTCATACTAATACAGTATATACTGAACTGTACTACAATATATTGGACACTACATGTGGTTGTACTAATACTGTACAGTACTGTACAGTACATGTGGTTATACTAATACAGTGTATACTGAACTGTACTACAATATACTGTACAGTACATGTGGTCATACTAATACAGTGTATACTGTACTGTACTACAATATACTGTACAGTACATGTGGTTGTACTAATACAGTATATACTGTACAGTACATGTGGTTATACTAATACAGTGTATACTGAACTGTACTACAATATACTGTACAGTACATGTGGTCATACTAATACAGTATATACTGAACTGTACTACAATATATTGGACACTACATGTGGTTGTACTAATACTGTACAGTACTGTACTACAATATGCTGTACAGTACAGTACTAGAATATACTGCACAGTACTGTATACAATATACTGTACAGTACTGTACTACAATATACTGTACAGTGAACCCTCACTTTACGCGGTCAATTGAACCCACGGCAGCCCGCGTGAAGTGAGAAACGCGTAAAGTGAACAACATAACATATGGGATTAATTGAAATAGAGACCGGGCTGACCCCCAAACTCCACTTTTTCAGACACAATACCTACGTTGTAGTAAAAATAGCGTCTTAATTTTATGATGGTATGCACACACAATTAATAATTAAGAGAAATATCAACAATATTAGGTTTTTTAACACTTACATTAGTAGAAAAGATGGCTGGGCACACGGGGATGGGGGGTTGGTTCCGAGGCAGAGGGCAGATTATTGGCCCTCACCTGTATCAATTGTATCACTATCCACCACAGAGGCTTGCAGGGCCTCTTTGTCAAACCCTTCGAAGTCCATATAAATCCATATCCTCACTATCACTGACTTGGGCCGGCTGTGGAGGGTGAAGAACTTGGTAATGTTTTGATGACTGGGCGACCTTGTGCGCACCCTGCTCGCGCCGCTCTCCGCGTAAAAGGGTACACACTCCGCGGAAAGTGAGCATTCCAGTTTCGGCAGGGTACCACGTAAACGTGGAAACGCGTAAAGTGAGACCGCGTAAAGCGACGGTTGACTGTACTCCAATATACTGTACAGTACTGTACTACAATATACTGAACAGTACAGTACTACAATATACTGTACAGTACTGCACTACAATATACTGTACAATACTGTACTACAATATACTGTACAGTACTGCAATATACTGTACAGTACAGCACTACAATATACTGCACAGTACTGTACTACAATATACTGTACAGTACAGTACTACAATATACTGTACAGTACAGTACTACAATATACTGTACAGTACTGTACTACAATATACTGTACAGTACTGTACTACAATA